GATATCTCGTCTGAGCATTAGCATTAACCGTGACATTTGAGTTCCTGCCCGGGGCACTTCATGTTTTCGTAATTCGTTTATTAAATTAACACCTTGGGCTATTATTCATACATCTTGTTGTTGAGCACGGGGAGTCTGAAATTTTGATGTACGTCGTCTGGCTGCTCCTTTGGTTTGGTCTTTCTTATGCAAATGGCATTGCATAAACATAATTAACTCGGCACGGCCTACGTGGCGTATGGAACTTTTTTTGATGGCCGTATATAAAAGTGCTTGCCCAAGTTTGGCCATAAATTGGAAGGATGAACCACCGAGAAAGGAATTTAAAAATCTTGCACCTGGGTCCCCAGCATACATACATATATTCCTTGAAGATATATAGTTTCGCAAGTTGGTGGCAAAGTGAAAGCAACAGTTTGGCATTTCCACGCCCCAGCGGGACTGCTATTTATTGATAAGCAGATGGGATAATGCAAGTGCCATACACACAGATACACAATGGCTCTCAAAGTGGAGTCAACGGGCCGTGAGTGAGATGCATTTCCAGCACAATCCATATCCATATCCATATACCATGTCCCATATCCCATATCCCATGTCCCTTTGTGTCGGTGCCATCCAGCTGAGCTGTCACTGCTGCCGATTGTCCTGGCAAATGTTGCTGAAATTGTTGCCATTGTTGGCCCCTGTCACTTTGGCGTTTAAAGCTCAATTGGTTTAAGTGCGAGCATTTGTGGCCCCCCGACACACACTTCACTGCTTACGAGGCGCTTACTCCCGCATGAGTTGCGAATTCACGCTGCAAGTACATATGCTGCAACTGCAACTGCATCACTTGGACTGCCAGCAATTTGTGTGGCTTTAAGCCAAATTAACCGCAGCAACGCCCTGCATTTGGCTCTCCGCTGACTGATGAAGCTTGCACTCGAGTTGGACACATCATCTGTTAAGTAATTGGCAGAATAAGTCAGCTCGGAGCACTCTGAACGGATTGCATATATTACCACGCTTATTGAGTGGGTTTCGAGAGCTCAGCTTTGAATTTATTATGTTTGACAAACAAGGAGGTGCACATCCACCTCTTCGCTTACAAAGTATTTATGCATTTTAATGAAATGAATAATTTAATTATTAAAAATGTTTGGAATAATTTATTTTATTTGTGAGATATTCAGACAAAAGAATATTATCTCAGTGGGTTATAGACAGAGAGAAATTTAATTTAATTTTTAATCTCTTTTTTAGTAAATAAAATATTTTATTATTTTAAAAAGATCAAGGTTTGAGGTAATCTACATTTAAACATTTTGTCTAAACTCCCATATTTTTAACTTAATTTTATTACAAGAAGACTTAAACTTTTCTGGTAGAAAGTTTCTGTATCTAACAAAACAAAAACTATGCAAAATTGTAGAAAGGCTATTTTAAAATATTCAAGCACTGTTTAATATTTAATTTATATTTTTAGTATTAAATATTTTATTATAGTTAATTATTATATATATTTTCAAAAAATCTTAATTTTTCACTTTTTGACATAATTTAAGTCTATAAAAGAATTTGTTAAATTTTTAATTATTTATTTAGCTGTTGTATCCATCTTAGTGAATCTTGAACAAGTTGACACTTAAAGTGGCTAACAAATTTTCCGATCAAATTTAAATGCGTGGCAAATAGCCCTGTAGCCCTGCACATTAGCGCTGCTGCAGCTCCAGTTTCCGCTTCCCCGGGAACAGCAACATCAACTCACCTGGGTCGGGGCAGCAACCCTTTTGCATAGCACTTAGGGCAAGTTACGACTCCCATTCCGTATTCCATCTCAGCACCCCGCATCCTGTGTATCCTGTGCATCCCCTGCATCCTGTTTGCCCGCTCCGCCTAAATAGTCCGCTGAGTGCAGAAGGCAATAAATGCTAATATTTTATTTAAAGCGCTGATGGTGAAAGCAAGTGCATTTCACACACACACATGCTCCCTTATACTACACACACACCCTGGCATTTGAGCGAAAAATTAGCTTTGTCTGTATGTGTGGCAGCTCGAAGCACTTGAAATTAAATATTGCGCATACGCCGCATTGTACGCTCCCAGTTTTCCGCCATTTGTGTGCGGTTCACGCATATTTGCACATCATTTGCCTTGCTCAAGCGACTGTGCATTGGTAGTTGGTAAGCCTCTTTTGGCCAAAGCTCAGATGTTTTAGCTCATTTGCAACCCTTTGGGTGGCTCAAGCACACACACACACACGAGAGACTACATCAATGTTATTAATGCAAAAATAATTTTCAAATGTTTCGCATATTTGCAAAGGTTCTGGGCCGCATATTCATAACCTCAGTTGGCCAGCCCAAAGCCACAAAAGCGCGCTACCCCCGTTTTTCCCTTCCCTGGCACTTTTCCTTTACGAATCAAGAATCTAATAAAACTTTTCCCAGCTACCTTGCATACATCTGCTTATTTGCTTATCATATGCAAATTTTCATGTTTCAAGTTGAAGTTTTCTTCTTTTTTTCGAAAAAGAGAAATACACACACAGCTCTATATATTTGTATGTACAAAAATATATAGGCAACCCAAGAATGTTTAACAAGCTACCTGAGGGTGCTCATGAGCAAAAGTTCAAATAACAAAATTTCTGCTTTTACTTTTACCCGGCAAAAAGTACACGCAAAAAACCCAGCCAGGTATTTTGGCCCACCTTTTCCCAATTATGGGTGTGTGTGTGCTTTCCTTTGATTATACAACTCTCTTTTATAGCCATCTCTATCTATTCCCCTATACATGTACCCTCCTGTTTTACCTTTTCCCCATTCGATTTGTGTGCTGACTTTTAGCTTTTGGCTATGAATTTTGCCAGCAGAACTACAGCATTTGCCCAAGATATTACTTTTAATATGTACAAATTATGCATGCATCAGATTCTGCACATAATTCTCTGGCAAATTTGCATAATTTGAGAAAAATGCACTCGGCTAGATAGTCAGACAGCTAGTAACAGGCCAATCAATGAGAAGGACAGACCATCTGCAATTACATAAAACATATTTGAATAAATTAGCCACTCGAATGGCTTGGGTTGTCAGATAATTGGCGCACTAAAAGAAAGTAAATCAGATCATTTAGAACTTTGTTTAAGTAGATAAGAGAAATAAATAATTACATGAAGAGAAACCCCTTATTATAGAAACCCAACTTAACTAGAAAAAGTATTTAATATATATTTATCTCTTCAGCTAGTATGTATTTTTTCTGAGTGCACCTTTTTCCAGCAGCGAGACGAGTTGATTCGCATGGGGAACCAACGGATTAAGTGCGATGATGATGGGTCTCTTTGCCGGGGAGAAGTGAAATTCAATTACGGGGGCGCAGAGACAAAAGCAATTACAAGAACAATGCCAAAAATGGCAGCTGCCGTTGCGGCCATGTTAATATATCAGCCCAGAGAAGTATGCAACGAAAAAGGCAGCGAGTGAAAGTAACAAAGAATTGGAAAAGGGGAGCGAGGGAAGTGGAAGTGGCAGTGGGAGTGGCGTATGCAAAACAAATAACACGGAAATGAAAAACGAACTCGACTGGAAAATTGCAAGAGCCCCTCTGCGCACAGCACCCACACACTCACATACACCGAAACACCCACACACACACACTCGCATAGCAAGCGGAAGTTGACTCGCCAGCCATGTTGCCGTCGACGCCGTTTCCGGCAGAGCTTCACTTGGTTATTGTTGCTGCCTTTGCTGCGGTTGCTCTGCGCAGCTTTCTCTGCCTACTAAAAAATTTACTGGCGCTTAAAAATGCCAAACAAAAAAAATATAAGCAAGGGAACAACAAGCTGAGCAAAGTGAAAGAACCAAAAAGAAATTGGTGAAAAAAAAGGAAAGCACCCAGAGAGACTACAGCAACTACAAGTAAGCGCACAAAAGACGAGCACAGAAATGACATAAAATATTTACCACGCTGAAAGACATTTTCATTTGTGGCACAGCCCAAACAACACTACACACAGCAACAAAGAATCCAGCACTGGGACTCGGACTCAGCCGCAGCTCATTACGAACAAATTGACGGCTAGCTAACAAATAGTTTCTCTTTCAATATTTGCTGCAATTTCGCTGGCTGCACTCAAACGGGGGGGGGAAACTGGTATGAAGGAGGAAAAAGTGGGAAAACTGAAAGCGGATACACTAAAATCCAACCCACAGCTCAGCTTTTCCGCTTTTCCCCCAGCGTTTACGAGTGTTTTTAATGCCACATTTTGGCTGCTGCTGCTGTTGCAGCTTTTGCTTGTGCTGCAGTTGCCGGGGAAGTGATTGAAATTATAGCCGCCGTCGGACACGTCTAGTGCATTCAATGTTCGTCTCGTTCTCTTTACGGCCATAGAGCTGGTCAGTTATTTTTGATACTTATTATTTTTATATGCCAACCCCTGGTTGCTGCCACACACAGCCCCACAACAAGTGCTAATAAAATGGAAAGAAAGCAGGACAGGACAGCACAGGACAGCAGTGTTTGCTTTGTTCGGAGGTGGATTGCTGAGTATATCTCTATATATACATCGGGCAATTACATAACAATTTGTTCTGCAGTTGGCGGGGGACTGATATTGCCACTGTTTCTGCTTTGGCAACTAATCGTGGTCGTAGTGGACTCCAATCCCCCGGTAAATGAGGATGAAGCACCAGGCGATTATTTCACAGGAACCCCTTTCCAAAGGGAGTGCTCAAATCAAGTTCATTCTGCAATAAACTGGTCTCCTTTGGCTCTGCATCTGCCTTTTTTCTGTCCCATCCTGATTGCAATTAAAATTGTGGCCCGCAGTCAATGTCAGTTTTTTGGCTTCATTATGCTGCCAACTCCGAATAACCAAAATGGAGGGAACATTTGTGTAATTAAAATGAAGAACAGTGGTGTAATAGAAGGGGTTTAGGGGATTTGGAAAAAAAATATTTCACAAAAAAATAAGAGATTAACTCCTCTGTCTCATTTTATAATTTTAAAAACATGTTTTAAGGGTCTCTAAAATGTTATTATTCTGGTGGCCTGATTTAAATTACACTTTTGGCCTTTATAACACCACTGTGCGGTCGACTGGCATTCGTAGTCCTTCTAAAACTTTATCAACAAAAAACCAGCGAAAAATCCATGGGAAAGTTTTGCAGTTTACATTTTTCATTAATGGCAATGCGAGCTATTTTCGGGGGCAGGACACGTCATCGTCTGGTTTTTATGGAGAGCAGTGCTCAAACAAAAAGTTTATAAACACACACAGACACACACACACACTACCACATATACATTTACTTGATATATATATTAATAAATAGTCAGCAAATAATATTGCGCATACGCAGCGTTGACAGCCGCAGCAAGCCAAATTGTGGCCAGAATTGTGTGTGCGTGTGCGTGAGGAAAGTATAAATAATAAATAAATATAAATGGTCATATGGAAATGAAAATGAAATAATCTGCCAACTAAGAGGCGCATAAATAGCCCTCGAAATGACATTCATATTCGTTGTCGTTGTTTATGTCGGCCATTTTCGTTGTTTCGTCGTTGTTGGTTGTTTTTGGTTGTTTGTGTCCTGTGTGTGTGTGTGCCCTGTCGCCATTTTCTGTATATGTCATGTAGCCCTCTCCGCTGTTATTATTATTATTAATATTATTTCCCTCCATGCTGTTTTTGCTTTGTTCTGCGGTCACTGACACGTGTTTTGTGCTGAATTATGCAGACGTCGGCATGTGATTTGATTTATTTGGAGGCGAAAGAGCGACGCATTTTTATGAAATCAATGCACAAATTACAAACAATTTACACATCAAATTAGCATAATTAATTTAGCCTCGTTGCCGAACCATCAAATTGATAAATGTAATTGGCCGAGCAAAAATTCCGTTTCCCTCACCTAAATTCTTTGCATGTCCAGATATCAAATTATGGAAAACTTTCCCATCTGACACATTAAATCTTTTGCGCAAAACTTTCTCAGAGTTGAAGGCAGAAAAGAAAAATCTAAAACTAAAGACAGCAAAGTTTCGAGTTTACAGTTTTTCAGTTAAAAGTTTTGGGTTACAGTTGGCTGCTTTGCTTGGGCAAATCTTGAGTCGGCATAAAACCACTTGGTCAAGTGACTGTTTGAGTTGGCCAAAGGAGCTGGAATCCATCGAGCTGCTCATGAATTATATGTAAATAACAATTCACTTCGTGTGCAGTGCGAAAAGGTTTGTTTATGGCACTAAAAACTTGCATGGCAATATATTTCTGGTTTATTCTTTGCCTTTTCTGCATAAGCAAACAGTTATTACATTGTCTCAATAACGAGTTGCCAATATTTACTTGTTATTTATATGTGCAAAAGATATATCTTAGATTTTTCTGTGCAACTAGGCACTTTTGCTAATTGCCTGGAATTCCCAGGAATTGATTATAATTGTTGTTTGCGGCTAATGTAGCTGTACAGACAGCACTCGAGGATGTCAGTTGGAAGAACGCAAGGATTTTTATGCATAAAATGCAGAAACGCATATTGAGTGGGTGTTTGGTGTCTGGGTAATTGTGTGGGCCGGACCCGGGGATTGAACAATAACAAAAATGTTAAGCACATGGGGTTGGCAGCTGGAGCTAGAAGAAGACACAGGAAACGGAAGGATGCTTCAGCACACTCACACTCACACACTCGCAGGCAGCCAGACATGCATGTTTGCGATGGTGTCTTGAGTGTTTGAGCCAAAGATTAAATGGTGTTTATGGCTGCACGCTGCCGTTGGTTGCTGGTGGCCAAAAGGGAACAAAGCTCTAAGACTTTTGACACTTTTGCAAAATTTACGACTCTCGCTTCCCCGGCAACCCCCCCCGCTTTGACTGCACAATTTTGCAGCGAAAACTTTTTATGTTTTATGCTGAAATAATGCTAATGCTGGGGAGAACTAAATCTGCACTGCCAGTAGACAATATCCGCAACTTATTTCCATATTTATTTGTTCTTTTTTTTCGCAGGGTTGGACCTGGCCTAAGATGGGTAGCGTGCTATTCGCAGCTGTATTCATAGCATTACACTTCGCCACCGGCGGCCTGGCCAACCCAGATGCAAAGCGACTCTACGACGACCTGCTGAGCAACTACAATCGCCTCATCCGACCCGTGGGCAACAACTCGGACCGCCTGACCGTCAAGATGGGTCTGCGCCTCTCCCAGCTGATCGATGTGGTGAGTATCTATATCTATTATATGTCTAACTATATCCCTTTTAGTCGAAAGTTTCCCCTTGGGTGTCAGGAAAATTCTAACACGTATTAAACATAAATCAAAGGGCCATTTGTCTTGATAGTTGCAGGATTAAAGCAAAAAGTTTTATATCATTGTTCTTAAGGGGTTCGAAATGGGTTTTACTCTTTTTAGGTAGGGGTTAAAAATTTGCTATTTAATGAATATTTTAAATTACTAAAGCTTTTAAATTTTTAAGCATTAAGATATCTTTTCAAATCACCTAGACTGATTGATGATTGATAACCACCCCTTTATCCCATTCCAAATGGTCCACCGATTCCATAAAATTTCCCTCTAACGATGCTGCCAAAACTAAGCAATCCATTTGTTTGACAAGTGTGCCCCCCAGCCGCGTTTCGGGCTTATCAAATGACAATGATAACAGATTAATTCGCGAAAGCCCCACGATGCCGGTAAGCAGGCAATGGCATTTGTATAAGCCGCAGCAAACAATCGGCGCGCAATTAATAACTGTTTACCCGGCGATTAAAAAGCCAGGCAACTAAGCTCCAACTCCACCGCCCGGCGCTTCATTGTCTCGATTGTTGTTTGCATAATAAATCAATGGCTCTGGCTCAGTTGATTGTTTTCTTGATTAACTATGCAATTGCCAGTTGAAAGTCGAAGTCGGCCAAGGGGGTATCGCCATTCCCTAAAATTGAGCAGCACATATATCATATATACACAGGAACATTCGTGGCAATATCGAGGCGCTGGCTTAAATTGCAGCTGGGCCAGATCGGTTCTGTGGGCCAGGCAAATGGAGCACAATCTTCTGCTCGGTTTGGCTGCACATGACAGCCGGAAATGGGGAACCGACTAACAGTTACGTGCTGTTGGCCACACAGTAGCCGAGCTATACGCCATGGTTCCATGGGCCCCCGTCGTAGCCAGTTTTGGTCTCTACTCCCTGCTCTATGCCTTTGCCTTATGCCTTCTGCTGCTTTGATGCCCCTTCCTTGGCTTCGTTTTTTCGACTTTCTATTTTTTCGCCTGCTGTTATAAATCACGCGCTAAGCACCAAGACCACTAAGGGGCAGGCCAGGCAGGAGCAGCAGTCAGCTGCAGGAGCAGTAATACCATTGCACATTGGCACGGAATCTGGAAAATCGAATTTAATTAAATAAAGGAGTTCCCTAGATATACTATACTATTTGAGAAAACGTTAATTATAAAGATTCTGAGTTCAACTTAATTTTTACCAAAAATTGAACATTTTCACCTTAACTGAACTGACCTTTTTTTGAATTTCTCTTCCAGGGCTGTAAAAAACTATTCATTCAAGTTTACTTCAGGAAACAGAAATAGACTTTCTAGTGCTATTAAATAACATAAAATTAAATCGCTTTATTACTTTCACATATGATTCACTACCATTGCACAGAGTTTCTTCTTAAATAACAATTCAATGAAATGCCTAAAACAATATAGATCTCACAAATCGGCATAGACCTCGAAAAGACCCCGGCTATTTGGCTAAATCAAGACTTTTCCAGTTAGTTCGCCTGTTTCCAATCCACTGTGGGCAGGCATCTGGGCATCTGGCATAAGGTGCTTATATCGAAATTGCTTTTCTGTGTATGCGAGCTGCTGCACACAGAAATATCGCACAGCCGCCCTGTGTGCGCTTGACTGCTGACTGGCTTGAAATATTCGCAGAATTTCTTTTATTGCAATAGTCCACTGGTAGTCCACGTTTTTTCACCCACTTTGCCAGCCCCTTGCCCTTTTAGTCCTGTTTCGTCCTGTTTTCGTCCTGTTGACTCCCCCTGTGGCTGTGTGGCTGTTGTTGTGGGACACACGTGTTGCCTGCTTTTCCTTATTGGCATACAATTGCTTGTAAATTCTCCGCACTGAAATCAGTGCTTGTACATTTTTTTTGCTGTTGCTGTGTTGTCCTGGAAATTGCAATCAACTGTCAGAGGGGGAAAAGGAGAAAGGGGGGGGGGGGGAGAAAGTGGAAAGTATGTGAGGGCAGCAACAAAGCAGCCGTGCGTTTTGGCCGTAGAATTTGTAATTTGCAATTTTCCATCTGCTTGCTCCTCGGTCACCTGATCCATGGCTCATAGCTACCCCGGTACCTTGGGCTTATTAGTTGCATAACTGCTGGCCAACCAGGTGACATACTATATACACGGTATGTGTGCATCCTGAGAAAGGCAATTCCGGCTGGCCCATCACAGCAACATTGTTTGCCCCGTAAGACCGGCTTACATTTTGCCACCCAAACGCATTCAAATGGCAAATGTTGCACATTTTCGAGCCAGTTAATTGCATGTTGCCCATAAATTTCCCATTTATTGGGGGGAAATTGAAACAGAGACCGAAATTGGCTCTTTTCAACCGGGCACTCTAAAGCTTTTGTGAGCCACCGTGACAATCGAGAGAAAATTAACTTTTCACATACTATGTAGGATTGTAGGAATGGGTCACAAAGGCTTTGCTCAAAGTGCAGAAATGCAATTTAATTGACCATGCCTTATGAGCAATGAAGTTCTATGTTGCCAAAAAAAGGAGTAGCTCATTCAAGGATATGTTTACCCATTATGTCAAGTCGGGAAATCTAACTTGAAGTAGGGTAATTAAAGTACTATCCAGTACTATCAAAAATATCTTAAAATGCCATTGAAAGCAATATAACTTTATTTTAATTTCGATTTCATTATTTTTTGTAACCAATTTGTAGGTACAAACTGTAAATGAAACCAGGCTGACCTTTCAATAAAATATCTCCCAAAATTTCCATTACCAAAAGCTATCATTGCAAAGTCCCCCTGCTAATTGTCGGAATTGGAAGAGAGCCTCTTGAAATCAAACCGTATTTCATGATATTTTCGGAAATTAATTTACTGCTTATTCAGCTTACACCGCCTTTCAAATGCGGCTCCTGCTGCTGTGGTCACAGGACACTTTTTGCAGGCCGAGTGGAATGCCTTTTGCCAAGTTTATTTACAGCACACAGGAAATTCGATTTAAATTGTAAACAAGCCCAGTCAGGCAAGTCATGGGCACACCGGGCCATCCTCTTCCTGCCCAGGACCTCTGGGTATCCCCCGAGTGGGCAAAAACTGTCACACACACACACAGAGAAAGTACACAGAGAGAGACACACCCGCTGAGGATGCAAATCCTGCTGCAGGACGACTGCTTAAAGCACTTGGCTTAAGCAATTTAAATGCTGTATATCCTGCATCCTGTGCAGGGTGATCCCCCCCAATGCAAATCCTCCTCCACCCGCCTAAGTGCGAATAAGCGAGACGTGCAACAACGACAAAAGCAACACCAATTACAGTCCACAGTCCTTGGAGGTGCGAACTGCCCGAGGCGTCTACTGTGCAAGTCCTGTGCATCCTGATTGCAAATTTCTCAATTTCTTATGAGTTAAGCTGCGGACACAACCACTGTGCTGATGCGTTGCTACACTGAAAAAAATATTAGAATAAATTTTAATTTAATAACTAATTCTTGGAAATTTGGGTTTCCAGTAGAGTTGAGCTCCTGATTAGGAAATGTACTTTAACTTTTTTGTATGATATCCTTTTCTTGAAGTTCAAAAACACTTTAGTTCTATATTAGAAACAAGTTTAAATTTTTTAAATTCTCTTATTTTTAAAATACATTAAATTTATAATATTTAATTAACATCCAGTAGTAGCACTTTTTTTTTGCGTGTTCCGCTTTTGCCACTGGTTGCAGCGGATGCCCCACATAAAGCATAAAGGATGCCCCTCGTCGCCTCCGTCCATATCCTTTGGATTTCCCGCTCCTGTGATGCCGCACATTTTATCTCTTCCTTATGCCGCACTCGTCGCCTTCGTTGTCATTGTGCCTGGTTCTTGGCTTTGTCGTTTTATTGCCGGTTTTCCGCGGCGCCCTCGCCTAATGACCTTTCCACGAAGTGCCGCTGCCTGGGTCCGCAGAAGGGCTAAGGGGCTAAGAGCCCTCTGAGCGGGTGATTACTGGTAGGGAACCAGGAACCAGGATCCGGAGTCCGGTCCCTTTGTCCCCTGGTTGCGTGGCTGGAAAAATCTATTAACACTGCGTGCCTCGACATATTGCCTCGGTCCCTGAGGTTTCCCCATCCTTATCCACAGATCCTAGCTCCTAACTCTGCGGCAGGAAAGAAATGCGAAAAACGCGTTACGGCGCATCATTATCATTCTGTCGTTAATTACATTTTTCAACGCTTAAGTGATTTATTCCGCAGTTTTATCGTTTTCTAATTTTTTCTATTGAGCTTCCCCGCATTTAATGAGTTTGGCCTGGCGAGCAAATAAATAAGGAAGGGGAAAAAAATTAGGAGATATAAAAATTCCCAACGGATTATAATTATCTTCTAAGCAACATGAGAGTCTAGGCAATACAAAATGAACAAACCACTTGAAAAAATCTCAAAAAGAGGGCAGCAGATATTTTTTCTGATCTGCAAGGATGGCTTAACTCAATGAATTTCTTTTAAAATAAATATAAAATACAGATTTATATTGTTTTAAATGCATTCGGTATTTTCAATGGCTTTCAGTATTGGATCCCAAAATTGCACTTTTAAGTATCATAACTTGGGCAATTGGATCCCGATTTGGACGTGGGATACATCTATGAACTTGTGGTGGAATTCCCTTATAATCTACATCAAAATATTACTTTTAAACGAGGGTCACATTTTTAACCCATTTCCATGTTCGATTTTTCCGTATTTCCAATGGCCTTCAGTATTAGAACCCAAAACTACACTTCTAAGTTTCATAACTTAGGTAATTGAATCCCGATTTAGACGTGGGATACCTTTATGAATTTGGGTGGGATCTCTTATATTCTACATCAAAATTTTACTTTAAATAAGGGTCACATTTTTAACCCATTTTCATGTTCGATTTTTCCGTATTTCCAATAGCTTTCAGAATTAGAACCCAAAACTGCACTTTCAGATTCCATAACTTGAGTATTTCTATCCCGATTCAGACGTGGATACCTCTATGAATTTGTGGTTGAATTCTCTTATATTCTACATTCAAATCTTTCTGTTTAAAGATGGTCAAAATTTTAACCCATTTTCATGTTCGATTTTTCCGTTTTTCCAATGGCTTTCAGAACTGGAACCCAAAAATGCACTTTCAGATTCCATAACTTGAGTATTTCTATCCCGATTTGGACGTGGCATACCTCTTTGAATTGGGGTTGAATTCTCTTACATTCTACATTCAAATCTTTCTGTTTAAGATGGTCAAAATTTTAACCCATTTCATGTTCGATTTTGGTTTTCCAATGGCTTTCAGAATTGGAACCCAAAACTGCACTTTCAGATTCCATAACTTGAGTATTTTATCCCGATTTGGACGTGGCATACCTCTATGAATTCGTGGTTGAATTCTCTTATATTCTACATTCAAATCTTTCTGTTTAAAGATGGTCAAAATTTTAACCCATTTTCATGTTCGATTTTCCGTATTTCCAATGGCTTTCAGAATTGGAACCAAAATTGCACTTTCAAATTCCATAACTTGGGTATTTGTATCCCGATTTGGACGTGGCATACCTCTATGAATTTGTGGTTGAATTCTCTTATATTCTACATTCAAATCTTTCTGTTTGAAGATGGTCAAAATTTTAACCCATTTCCATGTTCGATTTTCAGTTTTTCCAATGGCTTTCAGAATTGGAACCAAAATGCACTTTCAGATTCCATAACTTGAGTATTTCTATCCCGATTTGGACGTGGCATACCTCTATGAATTCGTGGTTGAATTCTCTTATATTCTACATTCAAATCTTTCTGTTTAAAGATGGTCAAAATTTTAACCCATTTTATGTTCGATTTTCCGTTTTTCCAATGGCTTTCAGAATTGGAACCCAAAACTGCACTTTCAGATTCCATAACTTGAGTATTTCTATCCCGATTTGGACGTGGCATACCTCTATGAATTTGTGGTTGAATTCTCTTATATTCTACATTCAAATCTTTCTGTTTAAAGATGGTCAAAATTTTAACCCATTTTCATGTTCGATTTTCCGTATTTCCAATGGCTATCAGAATTGGAACTTAAAACTGCACTTTCAGATTCCATAACTTGAGTATTTGTATCACGATTTTGAAGTGGCATACCTTAATGAATTTGTGGTTGAATTCTCTTATATATTACATTCAAATCTTTATGTTTAAAGATGGTCAAAATTTTAACCCATTTTCATGTTCATTTTTTCGTTTTTCCAATGGGTATCAGAATTGGAACCCAAAACTGCACTTCCAGATTCCATAACTTGGGTATTTAGATCCAGATTTAGACGTGGGATATCTCTATGAATTCGTGGTTGAATTCTCTTAAACTCTACATAAAAATCTTTCTATTTAAAGAGGGTCAACATTTTAATCCATTTTATGTTCGATTTTTTTAACCAATTTGGGTGCATGGGTTTATGTCAAAGTAGGGGACTTTCCCCTAATAGTTACGGCTAAATGTAATGGTTACTTAAACATCAGAAAAGTTTTAGCTGTTGTTAAACCGTTGCTATAACCTAAAGAGAGGGGGAGATGATATCCTGTAGCACATAAATTGATTAAAACTCAATGGTTATGGAAGACTGCAGCTCACTTGAGGACATCTCGAAACGACTCCACTCGCCCCAGTTTATTTCACCCCTAGTCTCCCTTTTTTTTCGAGCACTTTAAAATAGATTTGTTAAGCTATAAGAGCTGCATCAGCAGTGGAAATTGAGGAGGAGTAGAGCTTTCAGGAAGCCCAAGTTGAGTTCACTAAAACAACATTTTCCCGGCGCAACGATTCCTATTTGATGGTCTCTGCCACTCAATTGAGGAGCTGTCACAGAATCCACTCCCTCTCGATTCGGCACAAGTGGAAACTGTCAGCGTTAAATTAATGAAACTCTTGTTAACATTCGACTCTAACAAATCTCTTTGCCTTTGTTCCCGTTTATTTGCAGAATCTGAAGAATCAAATTATGACAACCAATGTCTGGGTGGAGCAGGTAAGTTTGTCGTAAAATATACTATAGAGATATAAAACACAACTGTGCACAGAACATGCATATATTTGAGTAATTCAGTTTGGGTTTGCTCAACTGTGATTTGGCTTTCGAAGAACATGAATTTGCCATTTGCATGCCTCGCTGAAGTCGAATGCAAAATAATTTGTGCCAGCCAATTTCGACGCGCTCGCATTATGCCAAACTTCTAACTTGGCCAAGTGGCCTGGCTCCATTTCCCTGGGAAACCAGGACCAGCAGGACCGCCAGGATCCCAGGACCATTCCCACTTCCACTTTCAGTTCCTGTCCGCTTGCCACTCTACATGTCCATTGGCTTTTCACTAATGCGGCGGCCAGCAGTTGGGCAAAAACAAATTGTAAAAAAAAACCGCACAAGAGGAATATCAATTGGTCCCAAATCCGACTTTTATCCCAGCTGCTTTTAAACACTCACGCGTTTTTGGAGGGGACGAACAAAGAGGGGCTTTAAAGTTTTCCGGTTTGCATAAAACATGCACAGCAAATTCCTCGCACACAAATTGCAGTCAATAGTGCTAGCAGCTTATCCAAAGTATTTGGTTTGACAATTCACTAAAACCGAAAACAATAACAAAAGCGGAATTCAAAATGATATATAAATTATGCATTTGCCGAGCAATTTGCAATTGTGTGCATCTGTATTTGTTTTAGCCCAATGCAAATGTACATATTAGAACTCATTATGAGGGGTTGCATGGCATATCGTGTTCCCGAATATAATTCCCATAAATGGGGAAAATTAAACTAAAGCCAGAAATTAAAATATATATTTTTAAAAGATTTTTTTTAACAACCAAGCAAACTATAATTGAAGTCTTTTGAAATATATTTTTATTATTTCAAAAGATTAGTATTATAGATCCTATGCTGTCTACAATATAGCAACACAAAAATTCAATTAATCTGTTCTGAATTGTCAGTTAAAAGCGGATTCCAGAACCAGACCCTCATGTATAGTATTGCTCGGTGTTTGTTTTCGCATTTGGTTTAGTGGTATGCCACGCCCATAAACAGGCGGCAGTCTGTCAATAAGGCCGCAAACGCTTGCGCACGTAGCCCCATAAAAGCTTTCGTGTATTTGGCCAACACATTTGGCACATGCACTTGCATTTAAGGAGATGGGCAACCGCAATTAAATGGGGATTATATTTCGGTGCTTATATCAGGACAGCGGATTTTTCAGGAAAAATAACAGAGTTTAATTAGGGTTCCCAGGATCCTTAATTTTATGTAAGATGAACATTGCTTATTTTTTGCCACATCACATAATTGCTGAAATTCATGTAATCACAATTGAAACCCGATTTCGTGTGTAAGTCGGATCAATATTAAAACGGTTTGGAATCCCACTCGGCAATTATATTTGCAATTATCGGGGAATTTCATGCTTCGTCAGCACGAAAGCGAGCCTGTTCTGTTGGCCATTGGCCATTGGCCACCATGAAACCTCAAACCAATATCAACTCTCTTAATCCCCAGTGTGATGGCTCCCACTTGGCGTGGCCGTATAAATACATATATTGCATATATATAATATATGGAAAGTGGCAATCAACATAATTACAGTTATGCGTATAAGCAATAAAAAAGAAATCCGATGCTGGCTAAAAGGAGAATGGAGTCAATGATACCTATACTATAATATATATAGACATCAAAATGCAGTTATTAGATATTACAAATTCCAAAAAAGTAGCACCAGTCTTGAAAATGATTTCAAAATATTAAATAGTTATTTTGGATTTCTTAGATATCATGGAAAACAGCAAACCCATATACCCCGCAATCCACTAGTACTCTCTGCTTAAACATAGAACCCAAACATTGAAGTACAATTGCATTATGAAAATGTAATTTAATGCCAACAGCTTAGCGACCAATAAATTAATGCATAATTAATGAAATTGAAATAGCAGCAATACACGAGTTAAACGCCCCGAACCGCAGTATAAAGTATTTATAAATAGCGAACTGAATGGCCTCAACTGAATGTGCGCATATTTTCTAATTTTTACTCCTACGTACACATACGTTTATTTTTCTATTATTCATGGCAATCGAGCATAAATAATTGCCATTTCCATAGTTGCATCTTCTGTTGTTGTACCATTTACCAATTTACATTTGTGCATTTTGCATTTTGCAATTTCAGGAATGGAATGACTATAAATTGAAATGGAATCCGGATGACTATGGTGGCGTGGACACGTTGCACGTACCCTCCGAGCATATATGGCTGCCGGATATTGTGCTCTATAACAAGTAAGTGCCAAACTAATTTTCGCCAAGCTCATCGACTACAGATTTGCCTGCGGGCAATTGTAGCTAACCGGGCTCCTTTTTGGAAATCCGAGTCCCTGGCCTGAAACCTCTTGGCCATTTGCATAATTGCCCGAATGGGCGGCGGTATAAATCAAAGCCAAGCTGTATTGCTGCTGCCTTAGTCGGCCATTTATCAGGCGATGATCGATATCATGGGGTTGGGGCCTTTCGGATTCTAGTCCAGAGTTCGGATTCCACCGCTCTCAAATTGAACGTTTTCGTTGACTTGGTGTAATTATTATAATTTGCTGGAGTGAAGCCAATTAGGGGACAAGCATTGAAATGTATTTAGAGATACCGAAACCATGGAACATGTCCAGAAATTAAAATAAGTCTGTCCACCCTCAATTAACTTAACTAATTAAAAGAAGTAAAAGAAAGAGAGCCAGTTAATGATATATGTTAAAATTTATACATTCTATAAGTTATTGTATAAAGAAAATATCCAAATTTGGGGTAATGAAATATTATTATATTAGAATATAACGATCTTCATTTTTATGAAATATATGCACCCTTTAATTGAATACTAAATTTAGATATTACACATAGAATTTATATTTGAACAGAAATCTCTTCATTTGTATGCAATATTTCATTTCATATAAGGGTAATCCCACCAAAATTAAATAATTCCATCAAGTCATTGATTCCTTTTTGTTTCGCAAATCCTTTTATGGACTTTCTGCCCACTGTGTTGCCTTCGGTTTGGTTGCCTGGACACTTGACTTTGTCCATTTGCCAAGCAGCTCGAAGAGCATTTGCCCAGGACATCGGTCAGGATATCTTGGCTGCTGGCTGCGAGGATGTTGTTGCTGCGCCAGATCGGCTTACGCGCTTTATGGGTCCTTTATGTGTGTAGATGGGGGGAAAAGGGAGATGCTATGCGTAGTACATACACTTTTTCCTCTACTACCAACTTGGCTAAAAGCTGAGTCTGAGTCTGGTTTCCAGTCTGAGTCAACTATACGCATAGCACACTTTCGGGGTGTTTCGTTGGCAGTGTCATAAAAAGTCGTAATTTATTGCCTGGAAAAAGCTTAAATTTCATTTGCCAGCCAACGACAAAGGCATTGTAACTATAGAAACTGGGAAGCGGGTGTTACTCGAACGCCACGGGTGTTATATGGCCGGCTTTGGTCGTTGAGACGTTTTTTAAACTGCAAATAATTTGTACGCTCCATAATGAAGCCATGCCATTGGCACTCCCTCTTCCCTTTGTTGCCGCATAAAATTGAACTTGAAGTGTCCTTTGTCGCACTTAATTGTGCCTTGTGTTTTCGTTTCTCCCAAATGCCAATCGAAATGGCCAACACCACGGGCAAAGTCCATTTAATTTAGTGGCCAAGTTAAGGTGATGGCTTACGGCTTACGGCTTACTGCCGGTTTTTATGGCATTCCAAGCGTTGAATCTCGGTGGAAATCTGGGGTGAAATTCATAAAAATTAAATGAATGATAGTCGAATATTTATCTTGTCGGCTTTTAATGTTGCCGCAAGGATAATAAACGTAAGTCCAACGTCAATATCAATATACTGGCTCTCAGTTTGAATTGTTTACAATTCGGAGCCTTGGAGCAAACAAGCAGGCATGAAAATTTATGCACAAATTAAGCGCCAAGTGAAAAAAGAGGTAGCTCTGTAATTTTAAATGCAAATACATGTCAGCAGTCGCCGGAGGAGGCAAAGCGCGTTTATTGTCACACTCACACACTTGGAACAAAAAAAAACAAGGACGATGGCAATCTATTTTACGATGCAACTTTTGTGCTGCGCAGCAAGCGGGGAATCCCCTTTGCGCGCATCCCCATTTGTATGCAATGAAAAATGTTTAATTGTCTGCTAAACGCGCAATGGCAGCGAAATAAATAGTTGGCCAGGCTTTGTAAATGGCCCAAATTTGTGCTCGTATTGTGCACACACACACACACCACAAATACCTGCGTGCGTGCGGCATTCGGACCAAAAACACACACGCACTCAGGGCCACACACACATTCTGGCCCACAAAAGAATTCAAAACAAGCGTCAAAAGTTGTTATTTATTGCTCGCGGCCAGGCATTTGGTCATGTTTTTAGCCAAGCCAACGCGCATTGCAACATTTTTGGCTGGCAACATTTTGTTAATTTTTTAATTGCAATTATCCCTTGCATTTTGTTTTGGCCCTCAGCTTGAATGGGCCTGGGAGCCTGGCATAATTACCTGTATACCTCATCAAAGGCACATGCAGACGTGACAAAATAACTAGAGAAGCCTTCAGAATTGGCTGCCTTCTCACCAAACACCACCCAAAAAACACCCTTGGCCTGATTGCCCCACTGTTTGTATTTGTGAAAGCCGCTTAATTCCAGCAATTAATTTTCATGTTGATCCAAGAAATTAAAATCGCACTCGACTGACTCAAGACCCCAGCTTCGGGTTTGGCCCCATAACCGAGCTTACTCCGGCCGCACTTAGTGGTTTATGCGACTGGTTATTATGCTGGTTAGCCGGCATTCCACACTTCCGCATATGAGTTTATTTGGGGGTATCCAATAATTACTGTTTGTCTACACGGGAGGAAAATTAGCGAATTCAGTTCAGTATTGCTATCTGAATAGGTTCTTGAATTTTAGTTACTTATAGATACTATTTCGTTCTGTTCATCCTTCTTTTAGATTGAGATTTTTATATATATACAAGAACATCAAATATACAATTATTGCTGTTGTCTACATGGAGAAAAATTTAGCAAATAAGTTCTTGAATTTTGTTACTTATAGATACTGTTTCGTTTCGTTCATCTCTTTTTAGACTACATTTTTTAATCTTTATAAATATACAAGATCAATCATTTAGTACTCACCATGAATTTAAAATTTTAACTTTTAACATTAATTTAGTTAATTTACTGGACTACTAACGAAGATTTCTAACTAACCTTATACCATTTCCAACTATTAAATATTAGGAAAATTTGCATTTAAAGAACACTCCCTTTGAAAAAGTGTCGCATAAATGATCAAATTAAGTTTTATTTTCTGTGCGGAAATGGTTCTGGCCATCGCGTTTAAAACAGATTTAGGGCCTCACCCATATGCCCTATTTGGCAGGAAAAATAATCCCACTAAGCCCGCACACACACACACACCCACAGCCGAACACCCACTCAGTCATGGGCAAAACGCATTACCATTTTGAGATGCCATATTAGCAGAATGCCATAAATCTCTGGCTGGGCATTAGAACCCCATTCCACCCGTTTTGGACCGCCCGTTAGCCACATTTGGCCCTGCTATTCCCAAAGTGCTCTGCTTTGGCTTTGTTTTCTTTAATTAAATGAATGTTGTTGACAACTTTATTATCAGCTGAACTTTTGCGAGGCCCTTGCTTTCGACCAAGGGCCACACCCACAGTGGAATCAGGAACAGGAGCCACAGCCACTTTAATTCTATTATTGTATGTTGCGAGCTGGTCGTCTGGCTGGTCCTCCTCCTCCTCCAAGATCCCTTTCCTATAGAACCTTCTATAAACCACCACCCATCCAACCATTCCCTATCTATGATTCTTTTTCAACTGCTGTTGGCTTTTAGTTTTTAGCATGAAAGCTGACGACAACTGCGTTGAAATCAAAAGAAACGAAATAAAATTTCATTATCTTTCATTAGATTTATAAAAATAAAAATGGCGTGGAGAAATACGAGCGGGACGAGGGGGGATGGGTTCAGTACAAGGAAGACAAAGGCGATGGGGGTGTGCTGGGTGGGGGGTTTTAAGGGTGGCGGTGGGGGATCAGAAGGACATGGCCAGGGAATCGGGAGCAACGGCAACAAAGTCAGCAAAAAGTTTTTCTTGCCCGCCAGCGGGTTGCCAACTCCCTTGATTCCGTTACGGTACAGTGGAGCCCACTGCCAATATAATTTATTTCACTTACTTATGTAGTTTAAGTGGGAATCTTTAATCTTAAATCTTAACTAATAAAAATTCTTGTCTTTCCTTAAGATAATGCAGCCTGTTGTGAGTGTATGAGTCTATTACATTTAAGGCTAAGAAGTTTAAAATTAAATAATTGGATTCCTACTTCATCTTAGGAAATTTAGTAAATGTATAAAGTAATATCTGTAACCCGAATAACCGATTTAGTATATATATGTTCGTACGTCCGTTTATTCAACAGTTCACAAAGAATGAATCTTTCTCGATCGCCTTCAAACTATATCTCTTCCTTTCTCGTTCACATGAGTTATCGGGAATAGTGTGACCATCTGATGAGTTACTACTTATTTTTATTAAATTTAGATTATTTTTATCAATTAATATTGTAAAAAGACAAAAAATAAAAATAAAATGTAAAACCTTTTTCTGCTTAGTTACAATCTTTTTAAAGTAAAACACTCAAAACAAAAAAAAATTTCAAATTAAGATTGTTATCATTAAAACATTTTAAATAGAGAGAAATTGGTTCAAAAAATTTTAAAGCCACTTCTCGCCAGTTCAAACTTATAATTCCAATCCTTTTCAAGGTAGTATCAACTTAATTTCTGATCAATCTCATCATTATTGGCCCACTGTGCACCGCTTCGATTTCTGGCCTGCAAACTTTGACTGGGCCCAGAGAGCAGAGATACAAAGATGGCGCTCGCTGTGCGGCGCTGAGATTAACGCGCTGATAGACGCGGCAGGCGCCGTCGGCTTGGCCAGGATAACTGCCAGGACCACAGCGATGACACTCATACGCCGCGTTGTCCGGCTTCTCTATAATCGCATACATATACGTGTGTACTGTGTGTATCTGTGTGCGGTTGTCTCCTGCTCTGTGTGTGAATCACCGTTAAGATAATGGCTGCAATTGCGGTGACCCCCAGGCGTGGTTTTGGCTTTTTTTCGGCTTCGGTTATAAACTTTTGTTCTCTTTGTTGATTTTCTTTCTCTGTTGCCCAGACTCTTTTTTATCTCCATCTCACTCCCTTGAGCCTCTCTGTAAGTGTGTGTGTGTGTGCAGTGCCGACAGCCATTTTAAATGGTTTTTAGCCATTAATGGTTGCCAGTGCCACAGCCACTGCCACTGCTGTTGTTGTAATAACATTTTAAAATGCTTTGCTTTTGGATTTGGATTTAGTGTACGTCTCTCTGGCCAGTGGCAATGGCCAGAGGAGCCGAGAAGGACCTTGCTGCTAATGGACCCTATGCCATATATACCAGAAATGGAGGCGTGGCACGGCCCTTCCCAGAGGAATCAGTGCCCAAACCGAACCGAACCAGCATTAGCCGCAGTTTTTCTAGTCTAAAATGAATTCGTAATTAGAAGCTAAAATGTATTTTTAATTAGTTCGGCACTTTCCGTCGATCCAAAGTGAAGGAACCTTTTTGTGGGGGGAGAAGGAAAACATAAAAATAAGGCAAATGTAAAAGCCCAAGGCAAACACATTTAGTGAAGCCTGTGAAATTAAAGTAATAATTAGTTTCTATTCCAAGATTATACCTACTACTATACTAAGGTCATTACATGACAGAGTTGTTTGGTCTTCCCACCAAGATATATTTCATATGCCCTAAAATATCAATTTAATATATCAAATCACATCATAAATATGTTATACCATCTTTTTCCTTGCAGCGCCGATGGCAACTATGAAGTGACAATAATGACAAAAGCAATTCTTCATCACACGGGCAAAGTGGTGTGGAAACCGCCCGCCATTTACAAATCCTTTTGCGAAATTGATGTCGAATACTTTCCCTTCGATGAGCAGACATGTTTCATGAAGTTCGGCTCCTGGACCTACGACGGTTATATGGTGAGTAAGGGTGTTGTGAGGGGGTGACCCAGAATCCATCCTCTAAATGGAGGCCCGGCAACAGCTGGTAACTCTGGCCGCCAACAGATTATGCCCCAGCCCATCAATCAAAATCGAAGAAAAATAAAAACCAGAACGAGTCTTGGCACCCGGGTTCGATTCTATCTGACGGAGTGCTAATCAAACGTTACTCTGACTCGATTAAAAAAACATTAATTTCAACAAACCAAAAAATAAAAAATAAAACTGACGGGTGGTTAAGGACAACCCACTGTTAAACGACTATTTAAACATGTTAAAATAATGGAATCGAACGTTTTTTATATGGACTCCTCGGGTGGATTTTCATGGTTGAATATGTGTGTGAGCGCTTTTCATTTGGAATCTGCCGTTAATGTTTACTTTGTTTTTTCGTACACTTGACACGTTTCACTTGCTGTCATGTGATAAATCAAGTGGAGTGCCCATTTTCCATTTCCCATGCACATGCGTGTGTGCTTGTGTTCGTGAGATAACAGCTGCCAGCTGCGTTTAATGAACCAGCCACGCCCACTCCCACGCCCACGCCTTTTGGAAAACTTTTTGCGCTGGCTTTGTTAAATATGCAGGGAAAACAAAAAACCAGGGGAACAGAAATACGAAGTTTCAAAGCTTTTAAAACTATTAAAAAGTATTAAAGAAAGTTCATGAATCGAAAAATCTATAAAATGACTATAGGATAAGATAAGATAAGTCCTTAAAATAAAATCTTTTTAAAGCAATTATGTCAGAATAAAAACTTTAGGATATTATCGTCATTAGAATTTTGAAATATATCCTTAAAAATCTCAAAAACCAATAAAATAAATTACTTTTTATAAATTTCCCAACTTAACTATCATACTTATTTCCAGTGTATTGGTAATTGATTCCAGAACAAAACACAACTGTTGCCTGCTATATGGCGCCTCTTTCCCATTGTTATTGTGTTCATTATGGGCTACAACAATAAAAAAGAAAAATTGGTAGTGGGGGGGGGGTGAAATCGAAAAATGACAGCACATTATTCTACATATAAATTTTCGTTTTCCTCCCTTTTACGCATCACAAATTTCGGGCATGCTTCATTGACTTTCGACTTCCTTACGAATCGTATGGGTTGTGGAATTTCTGGATCGGTTTTTGGGTATTTTACAAAGTCAGCGCAAATTTAGGACGAGGTATTAATGACGACTGTCTCAGCTGTTTAAGGGGTTTATAAATCCCAAAACTTGATTGGGTGCGAAATTAAATATCAATACACTTTGTGAAGTAAAAGGGCATTACAATTTAAATCAACAAAGAAACATAAACATGCTACTAAAAAAACACCATTATAAATGAGCAAAAACAAAAAAATCAACAAATGAAATAAATAAAGTAAATGTAGCGCACCAGACCAACCAAATGACCAAATCCGAAGCCAAATGGGAAATCATTTGAAAAATTCCGGTTGACGATGCTGTCAAAGTCGTTTTCCATCACTTTGATTTCGACCGGGGAAGAACGACTGGGGGAAAAGGGTAGGGGGCGTCTGGGGAAATGGGCCAACAAATCAACATAAATAGATGTATGATTGGCCTGGGTTCGTGTCGAGGCGAACAGGTGCAGCAGTTGCCAAAGTTGCCGGGCATAAATCAGCAAGTTTCCAGTTTCAAAAGCAGCAGCTGGTCCTCTATATTGATTATCCCACTCTTAGAACAATGTAATCAGATAAAAGTTATTGAAAATGTAATTTATACTATATAGGATATATTTTTTAAAATATTTAATATCATTTTACAGGTTGACTTGAGGCATTTGAAGCAGACTGCCGACTCGGATAACATAGAGGTGGGCATCGACCTGCAGGATTACTATATATCAGTGGAGTGGGATATCATGCGGGTGCCGGCGGTGCGGAACGAGAAGTTCTACAGCTGCTGCGAGGAGCCCTATCTGGACATCGTGTTTAACCTCACTCTGCGAAGGAAGACGCTCTTCTACACCGTGAACCTGATCATCCCCTGCGTGGGCATCTCGTTCCTCTCGGTCCTGGTCTTCTACCTGCCCAGCGATTCCGGCGAGAAGATCTCGCTCTGCATCAGCATCCTGCTGTCGCTCACTGTGTTCTTCTTGCTGCTGGCCGAGATCATTCCGCCCACCTCGCTGACGGTGCCGCTGCTGGGAAAGTATCTGCTCTTCACCATGATGTTGGTCACGCTCTCCGTCGTTGTCACCATCGCCGTGCTCAATGTGAACTTCAGGTGGGTTGTGAAAGCTATAGTACTTTATATACATGTTAATCCTTCCAAAACCCCTTCCAAATGCCTTCCAACCCCTTGAAAAACCCCTTCCAAACCCCTTCCAAATTCCTTCCAACCACAATGAAAACCTCTGAAAACCCCTTCCAGATCACCTGTCACGCATCGCATGGCACCGTGGGTGCAGCGCCTCTTCATCCAGATCCTGCCCAAGCTGCTCTGCATCGAGCGGCCCAAGAAGGAGGAGCCCGAGAGGATCAGCCGCCCGAGGTGCTCACCGATGTCTATCACCTGCCGCCGGATGTGGACAAGTTTGTCAACTACGATTCGAAGCGTTTTAGCGGCGACTACGGCATTCCAGGTAGGAACTAAAGTCAAGACTCTCTAAGACTGCACAACCTTCTTCAATAAAACAATGGCATGGGCATGGGTATGGGTATATTCCTTCTACCGGAGCTGTTCGAGGAGAATCCTATAGAAAGCTGGACAAAAGTTTTCCCCCCATCTTTTCCCGCTCCGCTTGAGACGAAAGTTTTTGTGTAGAACTTGGCTTCTTGGGATTCGTGCTTTCCCTTCCTTGCAGCCGGGAAATTTATGAATGTTTTCAACTGGCTTTAGTGGGCACATTACCAACGGTGCATGCAGCTAGCAACGGGAAACTTGCAACTTGCCAGTTTATATTCCATTTTAAATATGCACAACAACATGGAAATTATATGCATTCGGACACACCACTTTATAATGATGCTGTGTTCGGTGGGCGGAGGGCGAAATAATTTATGACAATTAACAAGTGCACCAGCAAGGACGCTGGAGAAAAGGGAAAGTTTCCAACGGTCTGGTCTGGGCATTACAAGTTCCAAGAAATGGGTATTGCAGTATTTTGTCACCGCAAACTGACAGCATTTAGATGACTCATTAAAGTGAAGTCAAAAGTATGTAGCGCATTTTTTTAATCAAGCCTTCGTAATATTACGTATACGACCGGAAGGCCAATTGTTTAAAGCTTACGGTCATAGAACTTAATAATTTCTCCTTTCGAGGGGCTTTCAAAGAGAGCGCGCGCGAAAAGAAAAAGGAAATCCAAAAAGAAAAGACCTGAAACTTTGAAATGGCCCAGCGAAATAAATGGAAAACAGAATGCAGAAAACTATTTATTGAGTTTCCTTATTGTATCCCCGGCCCTGAAGTCCTGCTTCTGTTGGGCCGCCCTCGAGGTTGAGGGTCTAAGGGTCCTTTGTCCACTCACTTCCTTCGGGGACATTGTGCCAAGGAGAATTGCGACGAAGACAAAGCAGAAAAGTTGCAAATTGCATTTACAACTTTATTTGCCTAATGCTGTTAATGCTGGCAAACACTCGGAAAAAATTGGTTCCCAAATTGCGTTTTATGTCTTATGTATTAACTTGCATAAAAGTAGCTGGCGTTGGTAAAGTAAAATATTTTTTAAAAGCAGATTGAGTGACTAAGAAGCAAGAATAGAATTAGTCAGTTGGAGTACACTGTGTGTGTATTAGCAGAGCGGCGGCAGAGTATATTTTACCATGTTTTCTAAATACGGATAGAAAGTTTCTCAGACTTTTTTAATGCTGTTGGTTTTTTATGGAAAAGGAAGATAGTTTTAGGGACTTCTTGGACTATTTTCATTGAAGAACCTACTTATTTAAAAATGTTTATTTATTTTCCACAGCTTTACCCGCCTCGCACCGCTTCGATTTGGCCGCGGCGGGCGGTATTAGTGCCCATTGTTTCGCGGAACCGCCGCTGCCCTCCTCACTGCCACTCCCAGGCGCCGACGACGACCTGTTCAGCCCGTCGGGCCTCAACGGAGACATTAGTCCCGGATGCTGTCCGGCTGCTGCTGCCGCCGCGGCCGCCGCCGCCGCCGACCTCAGTCCCACATTCGAGAAGCCCTATGCCCGCGAAATGGAGAAGACCATCGAGGGATCCCGCTTCATAGCGCAGCACGTGAAGAACAAGGATAAGTTCGAGAGTGTAAGTATGCGGGGAATATTATCACAGTTTATTATTACGGCTTTCTTTATTATGACTAAAACCAATTAAAACCATTTCGCAAATATTCCATTCTATTGTCATTATAACAATTTAATTAAAAACCAATCAAATCATCAAATCAACCATATGAAATGTAAATATTTTTAGTTTCCACAATAATATTCAAACAATTGGAGTATAGATGCAAAAACAAATTAATCCAGTCATGCAAATTCTTTAAAGGAGAGTGTTTAGGGGTAATACAGTGGCTTTTATTGTTTCATTTGTTTGATCAATCAATCTAATTTAATGTGCCGGCAAAGTAGTACTAACAAATTGAAAGCTCAAGTGCTTTAACTAAAACCATAATTCGTGAGAGAAGAGTTACTGATTTTTTAAAGGGTTTTAAGCTCAAAGATATTTTCTTGCAGCTTAGTTTTGCCACCCTCAATAATTATTTTTCTGACATACATCTCTTTCTAAATGCCATTGGAAAAACTTCAGTTCCCATTTCTCTTGCCAAACGTAAACCAAAAATCACTATTGGTTTTGTTGCAATACCGCGCTGTAATTAATTTTCCATGCTGCGAGCGAAATCTAATAATCCGTGGCCACACACCTCCGCAAACCAGTCAGATTTGAAAACGGGCGAATCTACCGCCGTCCATGGCCAATCAGCTGCAATCATTGTCTGGCAGTTGCAGCTGGCATAGGAATAGGAGAACAGGACCTAGCCGGGACCCAAACAGACCTGGCCAGCATGTCTGCAGCTGTGTTTGCGTCTGCTCTTGATAACCTGCATTAGGGGTCCGAAGTCCGGACCGTAAAAACCCCCGACTCAGCACAGAAAACCAACCGTAGCCGGTTAAATCGCGTTCGCCGCCGTCCTCTCTAATCAAAAATCGTAAACTAGAATGGAACTGGCGGATCCTATTTCGAATCACGGTGGTTCTGTGGGTCCGTGCTGGTGGTGCCAAGTTAAGGGCAATCGGTCTGTCGCCACCGTTTGGAGTTGAGTGATTGAGTTGTTTGTGTGCAAATACGAAGAGTTTGCAACATGCGGTTCCTGCACTGCAGCAGTTTGCCATTTGTCGGCGAATTGCTGGGTGTGCAATTGGTTGCAAGGGCTGTGTGTGTGTATATGGTGGGTGTGGGGTGTATGTAGGGGGCCTTCAAGCTGCAATCGATGTTTGCACTGGAACATTTCAATTTAACTGGCAAAGCCCGAACCGCAAATCTGATTTAGATCTGCCAAAGCCATTTTATTAGTTTTCGAATGCCAAAATGATTAATGAAGATGGTTGCGCAGAGAGGAGAAGGAAAGTGCTGTAATAATTTATACGTTTCTACATGTTTGTTTATCCCTATTCAAACAAATAGTTAAAGTTTAACATTTAAGCCGAATATAGACGATCGATAGTTGAGGATATAATATTCAATGGCAGGGCTATTAATCAGGGACTGTAAATAATGATTGTTGATCTGTTAATAGTATTAATATTAAGTTATTTTAAAACGATTCCTACTTTAGATTTTATAAAATTTTTATGAAAATGTGCTAATATCTTAATATATAATTTTCTAAATCTTTTATCTTACTTATCCCAAATTTCTTTGCTTACCCCACAGGTGGAGGAGGACTGGAAGTACGTTGCCATGGTATTGGATCGTATGTTTCTGTGGATCTTCGCGATCGCTTGCGTGGTCGGCACTGCGCTAATTATCTTGCAGGCCCCAGTCTGTACGACCAATCGCAGCCGATCGACATACTCTACTCGAAAATTGCCAAGAAGAAGTTCGAGCTGCTCAAGATGGGCAGCGATAACACCTTATAGCGACCACTTGGGTTCGCGGCCGGCTGGTGGAATCTAATCATCAGCTCGCTGCGGACCCTGTTCGCCGCTCGCGACGATGATCGTGGATAATATACGATGAGCCAGACCATGAGTATTTCCTCGGCGCTGTACAACACTAACAGTAGCAGCAGCAGCACCAACAGCAGTGACAGTGGCAGTGTCATCGGCAGTGTTGTAAGGGTATTGTGAGTAGTGTTGCGAGCGCCAACGAAACGGATGACTCGTAGAGCCCATCGTAAATGAAACGCGAGGCGAGTGAAGTGAACATTGCGAAATGAATTGACTAAATTGAATACAATCGAATGGAGGGCAAGTTTTTGGAGCAGTTGATCAAAATATGTATGTAATGTAATTCAAGGGAGTTGTAGTGTTGATTAACCAAGACAGTGCTGGATAGCGACGCGAGCCAAAAGATCGGTACGGAGCGAGCTTAGTTTGTAAGTTTTTTGATGTACTTGATGTATGATTGTGTGGGTCGAGGAAGTTCAGGTGGTTCGCGGATCCTCGCAAAGATCCCGGGCCAGTGTTGTAAAAAGCGTATGGAGTTTTGTAAGTTATATTGTATTTTTGAGCGCCAAAAAGTTCCTTGTTACATCTTTTAGTTTTAAAGTTCCACACAACACACAACAACAAAAAGACAAAAAAAAAGACAAATGAAAATGTTTTAAAATTGCATTTTAAATTTAAATCTGACTGCATGTGTTCAGTGCGTGAGTGTGGGTGCTTGAGTGAAAGACAGAGTGATTGTGGGCGTGACAAAGTACATATACAAATGTACGGAAAATAAAACCAATTTTAATGTTTATTTATTTGTGCATATTTTTCACATTATTTTTAGCAGAGCAAAAGCAAACGCAGAAAAAATGCGCCCACGCTGAATGGGTAAAATTAAATTGCATAAAATTTCAATCTATTTTTAGCATAAATAAGTAAAATAAATACGGTAAACTACATTTAATTAGCCATAAGTCGTAACTAGTGGTAGCTAAGCAAATCTAGTATTGAATTAAATTTAATATTAAAATAAAAAAAACACGAAGTCCGACAAATCGGTTCGTAAGAAGCGCGAAATTCTGAAATAAATTAGTTGAATGTTGATACAAAGGAGTCGTCACATTTTTACTAACCACACACAGGCAACACACCACACACATATATATATTATATCGTGCAAGCATACATATAAATATATATAGAGTACGTATACGTATTTATAGGATTGCAGCTAGTCAAATCACATAACAACGGAAACGGAAACACACAAAACAATTTCAATTAAAAACACACGCACACAAACAGACAGACACGGCGGAAAACCAGTAACAATAACTAAAGCGAATTGCTATTTGGCAAGCACTTTGTAAACCTTCAGTTTGAGAAGCGATTTTAATCAATTAAATTATTGCGCATAATACAAATACCATTTTGGCTCAGCAGCTCGTATTCATGGGACTTTGATTGTTTTCTAGATGTTTATTTAGCAGCTCCGTTCCCAACTCTCTCCGGTTAACCCGCTGTTTTGTAGTTCCCTGCACTCATTATGCATTCATCGGGGCATACGGAGCGTTTCAGAAACCTTTGGCAAGTTCAATTTAAAATAAAACTTTTTAATTACTTTCAACGGGCCACGCGAGTGGTGTTCTGAGTTCTTAGTCCTGGGCTCTGGTTTTTCTGGTTTCTGGGCTTTCTGGCCATTCCAATAGCCTCGGTGGAGTGCCGCACAGCAAAACACCTTCAATTTAAATGCCAAAGCTAACGAAACTTGCCACAAGGTTGGCCGCCACTGCCACGCCCACGCGCCCTCTCATTTTTGCCTTTGCATTTTTAATTGATTTTGCAAAAGTTTTTGCCGCTGAAGCAACAAGAATAGTAAACATTAAGCAATTGAAAAAGCCACTGCGGCTTTTCGACGGAGGCGGTGCGAAAAAGGGGCGGGGCTGGGAGAAGAGACGTGCGGCGCCACAAGGCATGCAACAAATTAAGTGCGGAATGCAATTTGCCATTCTATTTGCATTGGGCTAGGTATGTGTGAGTTAATAAAAAGCCAAGAGTAAACACTTGCAAAACGATTGCAAAAGGCACAAGAAAAAATATTTAAGTAACTTTTAATTTTCATACTATATGCCAGTCAAATTCTACTAGAAATATTTAATTTTAATATATATTTATTTATATATATTGTATTTTTTTTAAAAATAGCTCAAAGTATAAAAGGTTCTGAAAATCGTATCCTTTTAATTTTCCCCAGTGTACCCACTGTACAGCAACAATAACTTGGCAAGCATAAGTGAAATCCGTAGAAACTATTAGCAAAGAATGTCGCGACAAACGACAATGGCAACCCTGAGCACGCCGCCAGGGTTGTCAAGCGGCCTGGGTGTGGCTCATTGTTGCCAACAGCCCGAATGTTGCTGTTTCTGTGCGTGCGTGCCGGCAAAAGTTTAATTAAAATTCCTAATCGAAAATATTCAACATTTGTGAGTGTGAATTAATTAAAATAGTTTTCCAAGCCAATGATTGTGGCACAGTTTAGCACACGGAAAAAGCTGGGGAGAAAATGCAGTGGTGAAAAAAGAGAGAGGGGGGCCAGAAAATGATATATATATTTCGTATTTATTCTGGCTAAAATGCTTGGGAAACGGGCTGGAAAATTCAATTTTTTTCTTTAAACATCCAGATTTCAGGGCCAAACAGACTTTAATTTTTGTTTTATACAACTATTTTCCCCTGATGCACGCAACTACAAAAAACACAAACACAATCACACGATAGCGATAAAAAAGAGGAAAATTAAACAGGAAAATCTAAATAGCGAATGCCAATTTGGGTGTATTAAAATGTAAAGTGCATAAAAATCAACAGTTAACATTTTTTAAATATTTAGCTATTAAACTAAACGTAATATAAAGCCTATAAAATAAACGTCGGAATATCATAAATCAAGTAATTAAATACGAATACGAGGACTAAACTTAGAACGAAACCAATGACACAATTAAAATTAAACGATTAAATGAACAATGCAAAAAGCAGCAACAAAATTCACACGAATACCCATACATTCACTACACACACAGGAAATATAATTGTGCATCATATATTAAAAGTATTAAACTGAGCTTATAAAATTTAAACTAAAAAAATGTCACACACAAAGTTGCCAACTGAAATGAGAAATAACGCGAAAACTATTTGACAACATTCTCGACATCCGTTTTGAAAAGCATAAAATAAAAAAAGTCTGAAAACAAAAATGAAATATATATACAGAAAAATACGAATAAATACATAGAATATGGAACACAACACATGACACCTTTTAAAATGCAAAACCGAATATCCATTGACACAAGGCAAACACACAAAAAACTGATGGCAACAAATGTTCACAGAGGACAAAATTTAATTCAATAAAAAGTCCGTACACAACATATAGTTTAAAATAAAAAGTCAGCCCGGCATTACCAAATGGAAAAACAAAATATATTTTGTATAATAACGATGCAGTCACCTCTTAGTTATTGGTTTTGTTGAGGTCAAAACGAAACTTCAAGCTCATAGGTAAACGAATATCAGCCATTTTTGGCGTGACCTGTAAATATTAAAAATATTTATATTCCAATTTGCTTAAGCTTTAAATATGTTCGTTTAATAGAATTTTTCAAATAATTTAAATGTGCTGGTGTAAGTCTTGGTTATATTTAAATGCATAACAATTGTTGAATCAACTTATTTACTGTAAGCTTCTTAATTTAAAACTATTTTGTACAAACTTCCAGCTTAACAAATCTTTTGTTATAGTTTTAGACAATCAACTATTTAAATATATTTAAAAGCAGCAAAGCGAAATGAAAACAAAGAACTAATGACAAGTAAATGGCGTAACTTTTCTGTGAATAAAATAAACTAAATGAGTAAAAACCCCTATAAAACATTAATGCATATTTAAACTTAATGTCACTATGGGAAATGCAAAAAAAAAAGCACACAAGAAAATTGCGAGAAGCGAGAAAGAACAATTAGACGAAATTCATTTCAACAAAAAACCATTTTTGTAAATTGTTTCACTTGGGAAATCGACACGCTAAAGCAAAAACTAAATAAATAGAGAAATAAATGAAAACTCGTTTTACCAAATAATGCAAGACACAAGATGGAAAAATGGAGACGCTCGAGAAAACCAAATCGAATTAACGTCAAATACATAGAAGTGTATATGCTCTCATTGGTTGTGTTTTTAGGTTATAAACAAATAGGTTTGGCTCTGTGTGGGTGTGTGGGCGTGTGGGTGTGCCGGTCCTTCGTCCTGCACACACACAAACACACGCACACACACCGCCCGAACAAACAAACAGACAAACAATCGTTCATTCAATCACTCAATCAGTCGGTCTGTCTGTCGATCCCACCCACGATCGGCCGGACTTATAGTTGTACAGTTCATTTCAACATTGATTCATAAATATGTATTAACGAGTAAATTAAATTAAATTTAGCAACCCACAAAAAAATGGCGAGCTAAATCGCGTTTATCTGTATATTATGCTAGTAATGTCAAACATTTTGAATTTGCCTTTTTGAATCGATCTGTTCACGTTTTTCTTAGGTTTCTAGCTAAATGTTTAGTGTGCTTGATATACAAAAGGTTAAGCAATTAATTTAGGTAATGAGAAGAAACCATGTAATTTAAATACTGCCACAAATAAGACGAAAAGAAATGCAAATAGAACATATAGTAAATATACAAGTATATATCTATATATGATACGAGTACGAGTATATTGATATACGAACTAGTTAAGAGCAAACAATTTTCGGAGTGTGTCCAAAAATGGAAATGATGAGTAGAGGCCACTCAATCTAGACACATAAGGGTAGATCTTGCAGATCGGGGCTCGAAGTTAACATTGAAGCTAAGTACTAACTATTTAGGCAAGATACGATTAACTCTGTATATAACTAAGGTAACCACCATAAAACACCCATTAACAGACACACACACACAGCAATGCAGACACAAGAAGCACAAAGTTGAAGCAGTTCATACCTGTATATATAAAGATATACATATAATGTGAGGCAAACGCCGATCCATCATTGATTGATCATTCAGCAAGCGAAAGGAATTTATTTCCAGTACAATTCATTTCTCGATTACAGTTACAACAGACAACGAACTTGTGTACTCACAAAACTTAGATAAAGCACTGGAAAATTCTTGAGGAAATTAGTAATGAAAACCACTCAACGATTGCCGAGTGAATTGCCCTTAGAGGATGTTTTAGGATAGTTAAAAAGTTGCGTAGCTGAAAATAAAAACCAGGAGAGATTTCAATCACTTGAAAGGGCGCCTAAAAGAGTGCAATCAATAATCCGTTGGACACCCTTTTAAGAGATCTCAAATCACTAGAGATCCTGTTAGAACGCTTGCTTTCCACTTCGCTAGGGGCATTCATCGAAGGCTAGAACGTGTTTCATTTTAGCAAATCGAAAGACAATTTTAAGGCCACTCACACTAAGCACTTACAAATATCATAATTAGTTAAACGCGAAATAGTTATTAAACAAAATATATAAAAACGAGCAAAATGGGATAACTGAAGCAAAATAATTACGATGTAAACAGGAAATTGAGGTATTTGATAAATATGCGGCTTGACCCTGAGATTCAAAAAACATAAAATCGTATGTCTTCCAATCAAAGGTCGTCTTTTGTAGCAAACACAACAAGAATCAAAGTCTGCGTATTGCTAAAGAAAAACAAATAAACAAAACAATTGGAAGCAACTGTGGGGCTGATTAATGCAGAAATGCAGAATATTTAAAGAACAAACAGTTTACACAAATAGAAACACCACACACACACACACTGCACTGCGAACTCGATTAGCGAATAATCATGACATTCCTTAGGGGTTAAACGGAAATCAAAGATGACACCTTCCCCATGACATTCCCCACGCTCTCCATCTCTCTCTCTCTCACTTGAACTCTGACCCCTTTCGGTTCCCAGCAACTAATCAAGTACCTGACAATAGATGAACTACACCTTTCCAGAATTTCTAAGCACCCCACACCATCAATCGCATCCATGAAAGCTCGTCTTGTACATACAGTTGCCGAATGTTTAATTCGATTTGGCTAACAAATTTCCATAAAGTTGGCCAGAAGCGAGGCAAATCAAACAAACACATAAATTAATTCATTAAAAACGGTTTCAATGACAGCTAGAAAATTTAGACACCGACACACAAGTACACATTTCACAGCAATTAGCATTTTGCCCATGATTTCAAATATGCTTTCTTATGTACAAATGGAAAAGAGACAACTTTTGTAAAATATTTCCCAGAGTAAATGCAAAACAATCAGTTAATTTAGGACCTTGCTTTTTCAATGTTTCCAATAATCAGGGGGTGTTTCAGAAGCATCACCATTACGGTGCTTAAAAGTAGGCAATGATATTTTGGGAGATATGAAACCCAGCGCTTTCTGGAACTCCCCCTTGTATTCGAAAGAGAAGAAACTTTTAGAAGTTTTCAAATCGTTGACATCCGAAATTCGCAGTTTTGCAAGCAGCACAAAACACTTATACAGCCTTAAGCTGAACACTCACACTGATCACGAATATACTCGAATATTTAAAGCTTGTGTATGTATGTGTTTCGTATGAATTGGTGTGAATGGCATTGCATGTGTGTGTGTGCGAGATAAAGCCGAAATCAAATGTGTAAATTCATAACCTATAAATCCCTCGAGAACATAAGAATTATACTAACTATATATTTGAAGGTATATATAGTAATTAGTGGTATACATTATGCATATACACCTGTATGTATATTTTTTGTATTAACTGTTAGGTGCCGTTAGATTTAAGTGCTTCCGTTGCAAGTTTTGTGTAAATTTTTTTCAATTCGTTCGATTAAGATATGGAAAAAACAAAAAAAAATCAATTTTAGCGTCAAGATTTTTAACTCAAACCAAATCAAAGAAAATGGCAAATCTTAAAGTCTTGCAACTCACTGGGGAAAACAACACCACGAATATTAAAGTTAAAGGTAAAACGCCCACGGGCTAAACTAACGACAATTTGCTCAAAAAAAGTAAAAACTAAAACCAAATATATTAATAATAAAAAATATACATACAATACGCAGTAAACTAAAGCCAGATATAAATACAAGTATGGGATAAACATTTAGTTAGGCGTCCCAAGCGCTCACTAAAAATTCTACACGAAAATCAATTTTGACTAAATTGAAAATTTAGTTAAATGGAATCGCATAACGTAAGTAAGCTAAGTAACGATAATTATAATCCATAAACAATTTATGTAAAATACTTGCGACTAAGAGTAGGCTAAGCTAAATTTGACACTGCAAATCAAGGCAAGATCAGCAACAAGCAAACCTAAAGAGAAGGTAAATGGAAAATTTGTGCATCAGTAATTCAAATAAATGTGACACAATACTTAAACTTAAACGGAAAGGCGTTGCATTTACATTTCACATAACAAATACATGCGTAAATATATATATAATTACTATATATATTAAATATATATTCGAAACTCTCTTGAACAACAAAACAGCAAACATATTACATAACAAACCGAAACTAAATAAAATACACTCACGCGCAGCCAGCAAGCAAACAATTGAACATTGAAAATTGATCGAAAATTAAGAGGTCATACACAAATAAAAAAGGCATTAAAAAAATTAATAAAATCGATAGAAGAAAATAAATATGTTGACTAACACAACAATATAAAAAAAAACGGAATGCATTAACAATTTAAATGTAAGACACTAAATAACGAACTTAAGCTAAACGCAAAAACAAATTGAAATAATAGCAACAATTGCGAAAAATAACACTAAAATTGAAAACAATTAAAAAAACGACAACACATTAAAAGAAAACAATTACTATATAAATAAATGTTACGCGTTATTAAATAAAGAAGAATGAAAATAATTTGTTTTAAAAAAATCAACCAGTGTTTTACTTTCTAATGGTTTTTAATGCTAGAGGTGAGTGATTTTGGGAGTTTCTGTAAAATTTTTTATTTTCAACGACTATTTGAGTTACTGTTGTTATTATACCTTAAACTCATTCTTACCGAAACTTGATCATATATTAAATAAATTCAAGGCCATAATATAAATCCATCCTTTTTTATTTTTTCCAATCCAATTATTCGGGTCTCACATATAGTTAAATGAACTAAACTTTGTAGTAGTGGCTGCCATATATTTCCCAAAGCCAAAGCCAGCAGAGAGAACTGACATCCTGGATATATCTCGTGACATTCGCGTGAGTTCCGTTGGATCTGCGGTAGATACGATCGTACTGGTGATGGGCCTGGGGTTCATCGGAAGCCACAGGTGTTGGGGAAGGCTAAAACGGTCCTGACCAACTCCTGCAACATGTTACCCCTTTTCTCTGCGGCAGCATAAACCTGGCACTTTCGCAAAGGGCTCGAGCCACGCACGAGCGGCCATTAAATCCCATACTGGAAAATTACAAAAATATATAATTAATATATAAATTTATGGAACTGAACCGTTAAAAATATATAAACATCATTACAATTTTTTTTTAAAGACAGTCCAATTTTTAACCGATGTTCCAATGGCCTCCAAAGTGGAAACCCAAACTACACTTCAAATTTCATAACTTGAGTAATTGATCCCGATTTTGACGTGGCATATCCCTACGAATTTGTGGTAGAATTCTCTTTAATCTACATTAAATCTTTTTTTAAAGATGTCAAAATTTTAACCCATTTTCATGTTCGATTTTTCCGTTTTTCCAATGGCTTTCAGAATTGGACCAAAACTGCACTTTCAGATTCCATAACTTGAGTATTTGTATCCCGATTTTAATGTGGCATACCTCTATGAATTTGTGGTTGAACTCTCTTATATTCTACATTCAAAGATTTCTGTTTAAGATGGTCAAATTTTAACCCATTTTCATGTTCGATTTTTCCGTATTTCCAATGGTATCAGAATTGGAACCCAAAACTCCACTTTCAGATTTCATAACTTGAGTATTTGGATCCGATTTTGACGTGGGATACGTCTATGAATTTGTGGTTGAATCTCTTATATTCTACATTCAAATCTTTCTGTTTAAAGATGGTCAAAATTTTAACCCATTTTCATGTTCGATTTTCCCTTTTTTCCAATGGCTTTCAGAATTGGAACCCAAAACTGCACTTTCAGATTCCATAACTCGAGTATTTGTATCCCGATTTTAATGTGGCATACCTCTATGAATTTGTGGTTGAATTCTCTTATATTCTACATTCAAAGATTTCTGTTTAAAGATGGTCTAAATTTTAACCCATTTTCATGTTCGATTTTTCCGTATTTCCAATGGGTATCAGAATTGGAACCCAAAACTCCACTTTCAGATTCCATAACTTGAGTATTTGGATCTCGATTTTGACGTGGCATACCTCTATGAATTTGTGCTTAAATTCTCTTATATTCTACATTCAAATATTTCTGTTTAAAGATGGTCAAAATTTTGACCCATTTTCATGTTCGACTTTTCCGTTTTTCCAATGGCTTTCAGAACTGGAACCCAAAACTGCACTTTCAGATTCCACAACTTGAGTATTTCTATACCGATTTGGACGTGGCATACCTCTATGAATTCGTGGTTGAATTCTCTTGTATTCTACATTCAAATCTTTCTGTTTAAAGATGGTCAAAATTTTAACCCATTTTCATGTTCGATTTTTCCGTTTTTCCAATGGCTTTCAGAATTGGAACCCAAAACTGCACTTCCAGATTCCACAACTTGAGTATTTGTCTCCCGATTTGGACGTGGCATACCTCTATGAATTCGTGGTTGAATTCTCTTATATTCTACATTCAAATCTTTCTGTTTGAAGATGGTCAAAATTTTACCCATTTTCATGTTGGATTTTTCCGTTTTTCCAATGGCTTTCAGAACCCAAAACTGCACTTCCAGATTCCATAACTTGGGTATTTGTATCCCGATTTTGACGTGGCATACCTCTATGAATTCGTGGTTAAATTCTCTTATATTCTACATTCAAATCTTTCGGCTTGAAGATGGTCAAAATTTTACCCCATTTTCATGTTTGATTTTTCCGTTTTTCCAATGGCTTTCAGAATTGGAACCCAAAACTGCACTTCCAGATTCCATAACTTGCGTATTTGTATCCCGATTTGGACGTGGCATACCTCTATGAATTCGTGGTTGAATTCTCTTATATTCTACATTCAAATCTTTCTGTTTAAAGATGGTCAAAATTTTAACCCATTTTCATGTTCGATTTTTCCGTTTTTCCAATGGCTTCAGAACTGGAACCCAAAACTACACTTCTAGTTTCATAACTTAGGTAATTGGATCCCGATTTAGTCGTGGATACCTTTATGAATTGTGGTGGATTCTCTTATATTCTACATAAAATTTTACGTTTAAATGGTCACATTTTAACCCATTTTCATGTTCGATTTTTCGGTTTTCCAATAGCTTTCAGAATGGAACCCAAAACTGCACTTCAGATTCCATAACTTGAGTATTTGTATCTGATTTTGACGTGGCATACCTTATGAATTCGTGGTTTAATTCTCTTATATTCTACATTCAAATCTTTCTGTTTAAAGATGGTCAAAATTTTAACCCATTTTCATGTTCGATTTTTCTGTTTTTCCAATGGCTTCAGAACTGGAACCCAAAACTGCACTTGCAGATTCCATAACTTGAGTATTTGTATCCCGATTTGGACGTGACATAACTCTATGAATTCGTGGTTGAATTCTCTTATATTCTACATTCAAATCTTTCTGTTTAAGATGGTCAAAATTTTAACCCATTTTCATGTTCGATTTTTCCGTTTTTCCAATGGCTTTCAGAATTGGAACCCAAAACTGCACTTCCAGATTCCATAACCTGAGTATTTCTATCCCGATTTGGACGTACATACCTCTATGAATTCGTGGTTGAATTCTCTTATATACTACATTCAAATCTTTCTGCTTAAGGATGGTCAAAATTTTAACCCATTTTCATGTTCGATTTTTCCGTTTTTCCAATGGCTTTCAGAATTGGAACCCAAAACTGCACTTTCAGATTCCATAACTTGAGTATTTGTATCCCGATTTTGACGTGGCATACCTCTATGAATTCGTGGTTGAATTCTCTTATATTCTACATTCAAATCTTTCTGTTTAAAGATGGTCAAAATTTTAGCCCGTTTTCATGTTCGATTCTTTCGAATTTCCAATGGCTTTCAGAATTGGAAGCCAAAACTTGGGTACTTTAATCCCGGTTCTTTAATATTTTACATTAAAATCTTTTTTTTAACGAGGGACAAAGTTTTAACCCATTTTCTTGTTATTTTTTCTAACTAGCTTATACTCACTTGTTAAATAGGGACTGCACTTCGTCATAGAAGGCTCTTCGGGAGCGTCGCTTGATGGTGTCCTTGACCAGGGTGGCGTTCAGTCCGTGGGCGTGTTGGATGACCCACTGGTGGTTGGGCAGATCGTAGGCCACGCCCCAGTTTACGGCCCAGCTGAGATAGTCGACATCGGGGTTGCCAATCATGCCGATCGTCATGCAGATGGCTCCCTATATAGCGGGATGGGTTTAGATCATCATATACCATTGCACCAACTGGCTAACAAACCTGTTGACCATTAACACACTCACACCGAAACCGAAGAGCCCTCCGGAAATGCCAGATAACGCTTGTGCCGGCGTAGAACTTTCGTCACCGCCCGTGTGGCGTTTGCATCTGATGATGTGGCATGGAAGCCACCTGGGATTCCACCTCTTGCAGCAGGAGGCAAAAAGCCAGCACGAGCAGATTGGAGAGCCTCATACTGTCGGTAGAACGTTCTGTTGGAAACTGAACTCGGGCCCAAAGCGAACCATCCGCTTTAGTGGCTTATTAGCTCAAGTGCTCTGTTGATTGCACTGATTAGCGGCTGGCTGCAAAGTCTGCTTTTAACAAGTGCTCATTGTTGGGTTTTTGGGTTCCTCTGGGGGTGGGTGGATTTCTCCTCCCCTCTTAACCATCGGTTGTCAGCAGGGCCAACACTGATTGCTGTAGCATGTAAATTTCTGTCAACAGTGGGAAATACACTTGTTTTGTTTCCACTTCCACTCCAATTGTCAGCATTGTGAAGCGAAAAACAAACAGCACAAATTATGGAATTGGCATTTCAGATCCCTGGAGAGCGAGTTGCATGCACAATGGGGGTTCCGGATAGGAATCCGGAATCCGAATCCATCAATATGTCCATACCCTATTCTAATTGAAAATGCATTTATGTCACCATCACTTTGGTATTTAATTTTGAGGTGATATACATAATAACAATAGCAGTTTTTACCCATCTGCCCAAAGCAACAAAGAAACTCACATGCGCTTCACTTTTCAACGAAGGGCACCACAAAATGACCAAAAAAGGTCATTAAAATGTCGATGGACGAGTATTTACTTAATTTCCATTCAACTTTTTGGTACGGCCCACAATAAAATACATTTTTTACTCATCAATTTATGCACTCATTTTTCGTTTGTATTTATTGTTTGAACTGTGGAAATATTACAGAATTTGTAAAAGCTTAATGCGTGGCAGTATTTATTTTTTATAACAATGTTTCAGGCTTGAATAAGCCCGTGAAATGTAGGTGCCAAGCTGAGCAAATATATGTATTTGTAAGGGCAAGCTTAAAAATTCTTTACTTATTCGTTTTTTAAATGGTTTAAAATGTCCCTTGACAAGGTAACACAACTAAGATGTAATATGTTTACCTACTGTTAAATTTTGATTGGAACTTTATTAATCCACTTAAAATATTTAAAATGCATACCAATTAAAACCTTAAAATGCCGGAATCGCTCAAATTTCAATGAAGACCGCCCGATGTGAAATGCACAGCATATTTATGATTCCGTTTATTACAATTAAATTGAACATACATCACTATCCATTAACTTTATATAGGGTGTCATAGCAGTTAGCCACGACGCCTTGCTGTCCATTGCAGTTCGATAAATTCATTGGCGTTTTTTCCTTGTTTTTTTATAGCTTTTTATTTTTAAATTGTATTTTTATTTTATTTTTATTTAATCAACGTGCGTATTTCTCCTGAAACCGTTCGCTGATGAGCAGCAAAAAACTCTGCCGGCAATGCGGCCCGTACAAACTGGCGCAATCGTGGAGCGAACGGCCGGCGGTGAAGGCCTCCCGATACTTGGGTTTATGGGCTATCTCCGGATGCACGTAGCGCAGCATGATGCGGAAGATATCGTGGAAGAGCGTTAAGCCCGGCGGAGCCAGCAGATGACGTGCCTCGCACAGGGTCCGCATGATGCAGTAGTCGGGCTGGTAATTAAACCTGCATGGGGCGAAAGGAAGGCGAACCGTTGAGGGTGCATATTCCTCACAAATTGCATTGCTTAAAGTCCCCTTAAAATGCTCTATACCTTCGGGGGTTTTTAAATGAGTCATGGACATAATGACCTGCTTTCAAGGGTGCTTTCCCTAATCTATTTTAGCAGTTAAGGGCGGAAATTTAGCTGAATAGGGTCGTTTTGATTATATTGTTTATGTTTTGTTTTAAATGTAATTCAAGTGGAAACCTTTTTCAAAGTTTACATTTAAATTGAAAAAAATGATGAATTTAAAAGTTTATAAAAAATAAAAACTCTTACGTTACCCTACACCTTAATGAAACTTTTGTAATCAAATCCAGTTCTTGAGTTCACTTACATGGTGGCCATCATGGAAATCAGATCGAATAGCATTCCCTGTGGATTCTGTGCCTCGTTGACAATCCTTTTTCCCTGGCTCTCCAATTCGCGTCTCAATCTGCGTGACATGGCAGAGGGTCGGCAGTAGTAGGTGCCATACATATCCTTAACCAAATGAGAAGCGGACATCCCATCTGCATCTGCTGGGAATAGGACTTGCGACGACTCAAGGTGGGACTCAATGGAATGCCTTGCGGATAGGCAAAGTAGAAGGATTGGATGGGATCCGCTGGATTGAGAGGCACAATCACGGGCTGTGTTGGATGCTATTGGATCTCCAGGAGAAGCTGGTAATGGCGGTGGTGGAGGCGGAGGAGGTGGTGGAGGAGGAGGAGGAGGCGGTGGCGGTGGTACAGGTTTCACCTTCGGCTTCCCCACACGTCGTGGTATCCAATCTTCAACGGCAGCGGGTAATTCATAAAGACTTGTCATTTCGGCCAACCAAACGAGACCTCTTGGTATGGTGTCTAGAACTGCCTTGGCGCAGTTGGCAGTTACCTAAGAAAAACAACTTATTCATTACTTAATCCATAATGGATACAAAAAAAATCCGATTTCTTCAGAGCTGAATGTGGAAAACAACACTACAAAAAATACTTGATAGAAAAGCTTACTGGCTTAAGCCTGTATGATTTTTAATTTATAAATGGTTTTAAATATAACACTCAATTAGACCCACCGTAAGCGAAGATCCCAGTTCAAAGGTGAGCCAGCGCTTCTTTCGATGAAGTAGATGAATCTTCTCGTGCATGTAGGTGACTCCCCTACTCCCGGGTTCATTAGACTTCAGGGCAGTCGTTCCATTGCCTGCCGAAGTCAGGGCCATCAGACTGGCCAAGACGACCAGTCTAAGCCAAATTAAGTTTTCCATAGCGAAGCCAGCGGAGCCCAGCGAAGAACTGAGAAACTAAACAGCCGCCGGATCAACAGTAAACTCCAGATTGAACAAGAAGTGGCCAAGTTCCAATTCCGTTCGCGTGGCCCTCCAATTTAGTCCGGTTGGAGCGTGTCTTGACCGCATTGCAAGTAGCTATTTGGCCAAGGCATTAGTCCAAAAGCGGGTCACTTGGCCGGGACTCTAATTCAATTAACAAGTTGCCATTTTGATAGAACGCTAAGACAAAAAGATGAGAGATGAATATGGATGAATCAAGGGCCGAATCATTGATTCAGTTGGAAAGATGTGTGCAACTTGGCTGACACTATTGCTCACGGCATGGCTCTTGGGCGAATGCCAGAGCAGTTTGCCGGATGAATTTGCTTCGCCGGCGACGTCGACGACGACGAGTCACGAAGCCGGCAAAGTCAACAATGTCACGCTGACTCCGCCAGGACTCGTCGCACAGGGAAAACGGGACGATTCCGACCGGGACTTGGATCAGGACGACCCACTGACACCACATGCGGCCCCATCGTCGCAGCGGAAACTCTCGAGAGGCAAGCGTTTTGTGGCCTTTCCCCAGGGTTCATCAGCTTCGGTGAGTCAACGAACCCTCGAACAATGGGACAACATGGTGTTCTATCCCACTGCAGAGAAAAAATTGGATAAGAGATAAATGGTACCGCTTAAATAATTGGGGAATTCTGAGGACTTGTCTTAAAAACATATCAGATATTAGAGATAATAAAGTATTACTTACATTACTTTTAATATTAATATTATATGGGAAATTATTTTTTGAACATCCCATTTCCAGTGACATCTTTCTTAACAAATATTTTGTGACCATGTTCCAGGGCGCTGTCTGTCTGACCACCGGTGTCATCGGCAACCCCAACCTGCTGTACCTCAGTTTAGGCATCAATTGGGGCGTTGCCTACGACTTGCCCAACATCACCTGGGTGCTGCATAATGCCCACGGCTGGACCACAAAGAAGTCGGCCAAGGCGCAAATCAAGCGCAGACATCGCAGGGAGCTCTATGGCCGCCTGGAGACAATGATAGACAGGTGAGTGGGTCGGATTCATGGGTCAAAGGCACTTGACCATCTCTATTTGTGTGTGAAAACAAGGGCAAAGTTGAAAGTTGGGCTGGGATTTTGATGATAAGCTCAAACTATTTGAAAGGCTCAAGAGCGGACAGGAAATATTTAAAATGTTTTGTATACCCCCGAAATGAGATTCTTTAACAGAGATAAGCTGGTCCTTATGATTTTCTTCTTTATGAATAATGAACCAACTTATGTATACAGTTCATTTCATAACAGTAGGTCTTACTAAAATTTGTGTTCCTCAATATGTACCTTAAGATCTGCTTCTTTAAATTTAACACAAAATCCTGTTAAACTTCGCCTTTGAAAACCCATACATAACTATCTTTATTTCGGTTCCATTTCCAAACAATAATAATGATTTATTAGGTGGGCCTTAAATTACTCCCATATATTCGCGCTAATTTATGACTTTTAATCATTGCCATCGGGGCTCTTTACTTTCGAATCGCACTGTACAACCCGCAAAGTATGCTCCCACTCATATGTAGATACTTTACATGCTTCAAGTGGCAGATACCCCAGTCATCGTCCTGTTTTCGCTGCCAAAATCAGCCAACCAAGCCACTTGGCTTATCACGCACAGTGCGACCAAGAAAACTTCGCACCCAAAGTGGTCGTTGTCCCTACCCGGCCACGCCCACAAACCACCCACCACCGCCCACTTTACCAACCTACTCGGGGATGCGTGCTCATGGCATAATAATAAAATGTTGGTATTTTATATTAGCATTTAAATTGGCTTTTTGTATGCTTCGGAAATAGTTTAATATCCGCAGAGGACGGGTCTCTCAGTCGGAGTCTGCGGTTCGGCAACTTTAACTTGGAGCCAATGCGAAAAATGCATAACAAATTAGGCCGTAATTGGGGAGAGTTATGTGGCGGTTGGCGTTAAACTATCTGCAATCTGTAAAATGTCTTATCAACGATCCGCACACGCATGTGTATGTATGTATATACCGAAGATATCCCAGATACAGTGACGGGCGTTGTCATGGTAATCAAAGGACTTGGGCCCTTTTTCGATTGCCTGTCCCCGGCTAAGCTTCAAGTGGTCGTCAAAAAGTTACCATATTTGTCCTTCGAGCGGCTTTTCCTTTTGCCATCTGCCTTGGATTTTCCCCTGGCTTTGACCTTAGCTTTTCACGTGTCGGGAATTCGGTGTGTCTTGTGCTTTTCTATGTTGTGTTGTGTGTCTGCCTCTGCCCGTCTTGTGTTTCATGATTGTTTTCCCTCGATTGGTTTCGCTTTTCGATTGTCTGTTTTGCTTAGCGTCCCACAATTGATGCCCGGCAATTTTGGCCCTGACTTTTGGCATTGGCTCTTCTGGTTTACGACCGCTTCTCCCTCTAATGGGCCAGCTAAGCGCCTTCCCTGGCCTCAATTGCCTCTATCCGATATGTCGGGATACCTACATATATCACATTGTACATATAGTAGTATATGGCAGTGGGAGTCCTTGTGTATGCGCTGTATGCCCTATGGGGTTAATGAAGTTGTTTGTTTGTTTGCTCGCCTGTCGCCCTGGCCACAGCATTCAATTGACAGCCGCCACTGTCACTTCTGCCGGTTCCGGAAGGGGGCTAAAAAGTTAAGTATCCCCTGGAAATTATATCAGGCAGTTCATTATGCCGCAAACCATGCGGTGAAGATTATTTAACAAGGCTAATTATTTACTGACTTTTAAAAAAATGTAAGAAGAATGTCAATATCATTTATCAACAGATCTGTTAATAATACGGAACATGTATTCTGTGTTTCTTCTTATTTAACCTGCTTTCTATCAGAACTAGATCTTACAAACCGAACCCACTTTGGAAATTTTTCGCTAAACGCTAACTCGAACAGAAATCTATAAATAGTCAAAACCTGTTTAAAGAGGCCTTCGGAACCCCATCACTTGAGGTGTGAACTAATATTACCATGTATTTTCACTGTGGAGCCGAGTTGGCAAATATGAACGCCATTGCCGACCAGTCCATCGATCTCTGTCATCGCATCTTTGACTTTACGAAGGCAATTGACCTTTCGCATGACATCGACAGGTGAAAATGCAGGTGGAAATGGGAGTGGTGGTGAAGGTGGAAGTGGTGACGGAAATGGAGATAGGAAGGAAGAAAGGAAGGTGCAGTTGCAGTGTCGGCACAGGCAATTCAATTAAGTTGCAGCGCCTGTCTGGGCGGTTACCCTCCCTTGGCCGACGAGCTTTTGGGCCGGTGCCATGTTTATTGTAAACGTGACTGCTGCAAGTGTCTGAAGAGCATTCTAAACGTTAGCGGACAATTGACACATTTGCACTTTGGCCCATTGTCTTGCAGCTTGGAGTCTTCCACTGTTTGCAGTCTTTGCCGTTTTCAGTTACTACAGTAGTTGCCTGCAGAGTGGCACGTGCCACGTTGCTTTCTGCCATGATTTACGCGCAGTTCGTATTGTTTAATTATCGTTTAATTGTTGCAAAGTTTTTGATTTACGATTTAATTGCAATGACAAATGCATCGCCCTCTGCCACCCACGTTGCTCCCTCGTTTTTCCCCGGTAATGTCAGCAGCCATGATTTATGGTCGCCGCCACATTGATGACTATGATGGAACGTGCAGACGACTCTACTCCATTCAGTTCCACATCCGCATCCGAATCTCTGGGCACATCCTCGCAGCTGTTGCACCGGCGGTGGCAGCGAGTACTCAGTCGTCCGAAGCGCTATCTCAGCTTCCCCGAGGGCTCCTCGCTTTCCGTATGTCCTCCCAGTCCCAATCCTCCTCCTTCATAGAGTGCTTTTTGTCAACGTGTCCTTGATCAGGTGGCCGTCTGCTTCACCGTGGGCATCATTGGCAATCCGTATTACGGCTACAACAGTTTCGGCCTCAACTGGGGAGTGGCCTACGACCTGCCCAATACCACATGGGTCCTTCAGAGCCTGCATGGATTTGCCACTCATCCAGTAGGACCGGCCATCCTGCGACGGAGGTCCAGGAGCGCCATCTACCAAGGATGGAGACCATTGTCGATAAGTATGAGGGGTTTTAAAAGCACAACTGAAATAAGTTAAAAGGAGAATGGAATTTTTAGAAATTGATCTCTTTATAATATTATTTTGTATTACTTACCTGCGTTCTGATATTCTTCTAGCATGGGCTACAATGGACGGGATTGTATCTTGAGAACCCTCTGCGAGAGTCGTCAGTACTTCCAGCGCACCAAGATGAGCATGGTGGGCGAGATGCTTCGCACTATATTTAGGTAGCTGCAAATAATCATAAAAAAATTCAATATTTTAATAAAATACTATCTTACCCACAGCTTGCCGAAGCAGAGAATTTTCACCCGGGAATGCACGAGAATTCGGATATCTTCCACTACGACCAGGCATATCGGAATGCCCACAGCGACGACTGTACCCAGTACGACTGCCACTTCTCGTTATTGGAACTGGCCTTTGGGAAATACACAACCCCACCAAAAAATTATTACGCCTAATAAATTCCCAATACTTACCAAAAGTGTTTCGCATAAAATTCTTTTTAAAATTCTCAACTCTGTCCACCTCCGTTTTATAAAAGGAAATATATAGCAAAGGGAGAGGACGAGGCCAAAGGGCACTTGTTGAGCCAGTTTAAAAAATGACACTTCATATATCTTCTGCCCAGCTGCAAGTTGGCATCCTCCTCCAGCCGAAAGGAATTGATGGTGTCTGTGAGCCAACTTCAGCTGACTGACTGATGTGAAAGTCGGTCTCCGACACCTTCTGCCCCTATCATTATCATTCTGCCACTGGTAAATTGGACCTCAATTGGAGCCAAATAAAAATACATTGTTGATGTTTCAAAAACTGAAATCAATCAAGAGGGAAAATGGTAGAGCATTGTCTTAGAATATGAATGAAATGAAGTGACAGGCCGAAATATGTGCAACTGTTGGCCAAGAACAGCAACCATTTAGGGTTTTTGGAAATATGAGCCAACATAAATTTAGATTGGAAGAAAATTTGTCAAAACAATGAACAGAATTTTAAGACAACAGTCCTAATTGGATTTCAAAAAGATCAGATTTCACCAACTTCAACTTAAATACCAATTATTTATTAGCAATTATTAGCTTTAACTGATATAAAGAACATCGTAGATAAACTAATATCAAATTTATATTATTAGCCAATAAATTTAACTTCTTACTGGCTTCAATGACCCAAATAAATATTTATTTGTAAATAAATACTTCTCTGGAGCCCGCTTTCAACTCTTCCAGGTGTTCACACCTCATCCGAATGCTCCGCAGGCCCCATTTATAATGGTAAACGGGGAAATTGTGGATGTCAACAAGGGTACCGTGCCAGCAGCAGCTGAGTGAAAGATGGAGAGAAAAGTGTTAACAAGTAAATGTCATGTCCAGAACTAGAATTCCAGAGCAGGACGGATCGGGCTGGCTGGTGGCAATGGCCAAGACACGAGATGTCACCGAACCACACAGAGCAATAAATAAATAAGCTACGCCAGCAGTAGCAACAAATTCTTTGTTTGTTTGTTTGCTTCTCTTTTTGGCTCTCGTATTTATGTCAGCCAGATTAAATATATATCCGAGCTTATATCAGTAGCCAAGGGAACCTGGAACTGGACGCAGTTCGGGCAATTAAACCGGAAAAAAAGCGTAAAGAACTGAACGTGAAGTTTCGTGGAAAATCCCTAGCACATAGCAGTTAAAAGTATTAATTAGTGACCGTTTTCGAAATTCAGCAACATGATTCACCTGTCAGCGATGACATTGCTGATGCTGCAGTTCGTCCAGCTGGTTCCCAGTATTCTGTCATCGAATCCAACCGTCACTCAGCCTCACCCAGTTGACAATTTCGAGGGGCTCAGCACCCTGTCCAAACATTTCGACAGCCCCACCCCAGTCCCCATCGATTGCCGACTATAGTCCCAGTTCCGACAACGATTCCGCATCCAACAACGCCACAAGGATTCTGCGGCGGGGCAAGCGTTATCTCCAATTCAGCAAGGGATCACGTATGTCGGTGCGTATGGCACCCAGTTTTAATTGGCCCCCAATCACGGGCACTTCGATTCCCTCTACCTGCAGTGGCGAACCAATGGCAAGAACAACTCTGGACCATCAACACGCTGTGGGCCTACGGCTATGGCTTCCGAGCCAACTATCCCTTCCCGTCCATCGAGGAGCAGAAGAAGGACAATGCCGTCTTCTTTCGCCTGTTTAAAAGGGACCTCTTCTCTAAACTGGAAACGCTCTGGATGGGTAAGTTTGCTTTCTTGCCTTAAGAAAGGATAATATTCTTAAAGTTCTGTAAAATAAACTGCCTAAATAATGGCTACAACATTCAAAAGACAATTTAGGTCCTTAAAAAGTATACACATTCTTATCACCATAATTAGTTTTATCATAACATCTTATACCCAATAAATTTGAAAAAATATTTACCTATATTTTTTCTTATCATCGTATCATCTATTCATATTTCTTATCCATATAGACATGGCTTTGATGGCCGAGCTTGCATGTTGAAATCCTTCTGCACCGCCTTGAACGATGTGGATAGCCCAAAACAAAAGAGCGGAATGCTCTTCAAAATTCTGAAATTGATTTCAGGTGAGTCGACCACATACTCATTTCCCAGCTTAAGTAGAGCAAGGTTTGTCATTAATTAGCATTGTTCTAATAAGTCTTAAAACAAAACCAAACCAGTTTATGTGCGTCGAAAGAACTATTATAGTCTAATGACAGTTCTTAGATTTCTATTCTGTTAGTTGAGTTCTTACATCGGTTACAATGGTTACGGTTCGGTTGGGCGTTATCTCACCTTCCTGACCCTGGTGGCAGGCCAAAATCAAATTCCACAATGGTTCACAGTCGGCCAAGAGATATCTGATATTATAGAGACCACTCGAATATTTGTGGGTACCAAATGGGAGCCTCAACTAAAAAACTATAGCCTAATCCTTAATAGTTTTAATCATTTTGAAGGCATATTTTGGCGGTTAAGGCTCCTTTAAAAATCTTAACTACCCATAGTTGCTTATAGCATAGCTTACTATTTGTTCCACTTTTAAGTTCCGCGTTAATGCCAAAAACAATGTGATCTCATCGCCGACTATATGGGCCCATGGCTATGGCTTTCGAGCCAATACCCCCATCTTGGTCAAACACGAGAACCGACCCTTTCGCAGGGATACTTATGAGTTGCTCCACGAACTGATAGATAGAAGTGGCCTGGATGGGCGGGCCTGTGTTCTCAAGGCCTATTGCACCGCCCTGGCCGGCGATCATGGTCAGGGATTTCTGTTTAAGCTATTGAAATACGTATTTACGTAAGTGTTTACTTAATGCAAAGTGAATATTAATTATCCCGCGCTTACACATTATTTAATTACAGCCTGGATGAGCACGACCAGCGGCATATGCCGCATCTGCGGGAGGAGAACTGCGAACAAATCATGCACAGCCATTGTCCCTTGAGTTTCGACAGCATATCACCATATACGGACGATGTTTAATAATGAGTTCAATGTGTTTATACTGCCTTTAAAATATACGACAAACCAGCCAAATAAAAGTGTATAAATATGGTCAGGGAATTTATAACATAGGCACTTCAAATACACTCTATCTGGTGACTCCCGAAATATTAACCATAATCTTTTTTTTCAAAAAGAGTTTCCAAAAGTTCTATTTTTTGGATATGAGTATCGCTGGGGAGTTTTAATACGAGTCAAGAGGTATATTAATGCCAGGCTCTTTTTATTAAGCAAAATAACAAATTTTTGGGTGGAATATGAAGTAAAAATTAAATGAATTATACCAATTGGTTAAATTTATTCCAACTTCCCGAATAGTAACCGTCCCGAAAATCAAAACATGGCATCACTGTTTTGTTATTCCTAGCTATGCAAAACAAACGAAACCGAGATTGAATTGGACATCAAAATACAAATATGTACACAAGCCTGTAGGACTGATTGCCTAAAATAATATTACTGATATAACAAAAGCACTTCAAAGGGATTGTAGTTTGCCAGGGGCATTTTAAGGTTCGTCCTGTGGCTCAATGACACTTAATACAACAGTTAATTCACCACTATTTTAATACAAATTAAAAACTTCAATTCAGCAAAAGATATTTGGGTTTCATTCGCTTTGTAGTATATAATAATCGATTTAATAAAAAACACATCTGATTTGTGTCCAAAAAATGCAAAGCTTAAGTGTCCTGTTAAAAATGTATATTACTAAAGCTTAAGCAATAAAATCTACATAATTCTTATGATATAAATTGTAATAACACCAAAATAATAGATGATTTAGTTGATATCTTTTGATAGTTCTTCAAAAAAACAATTAATTTAATTCAGAGAGTTGGGTAACAAATCGTCGCCATCTTCTAGATGTTGCTGATTTTGTTTTTTCCCGAAAGCTCGCAGTAAGTGTTTGTGGCTGCTGATGATATTTATTCGCTGTTGTTGCCATTTGTAATTTATAATTAACTTGTGTGCCATTTGCAGGTTTTGGACGAGTGTTTCTGTTTTTCCGCCATCCGCTGATTGTGCGTGTGGCAATCAGCAACGTGCATTTAATTGGCATTTTTATTAAACAGCTGAAAGTGAGCAGTGGCGGTGGGGAAAAAAGGCCAAAAAGGATACCAGGCGGGCCAGGACGAAGTAATAGCAAGGACTCGGTGGCCATTGTTGACCTCGCTGGATGACAAGAGTGTTCCAGCTGTTTAATGTCACCAGCACGAAAATGCCGAGTAGTGTTAAAATGTTTGCGGCAGCCTTTGATGCACTTGTCACGCCCACAACGCCCCCCCAGAGGAAAACCTGTCGCCCACCGCGACGACATTAAAAATTAACTTTAATTAAGTTGAAAAGCATAAATAACATGCTCGCGTACAAGGACATTAAACTGCAGTCGAGGGAACTCTCAAGTCCCTCTAGTTTGCCACAAGGATGCAGAAAATATGGGAGACTAGGAGCTGCAGGATGGCTCCCCACTTGGACATTGACCGCAAAACTTGAAGCGTTTATTGGGCCACAACTTTGTGCCACTTATGTGTAGGTATTCAAAAAATAAAAATAAAAGTAAAGAAGAATACACAGTTAAATGCACACGCAGCCACAAGTTCGCGTCTCATCCTTAATCAAGTATTAATTATCCTGGCGTGCGTTGAATTGCTGCACTAAGAGGTCAACTCCACCCCCCACCCACATGAAATGACCTTACTTTATGCACACGCACCCAACGCCTTACATTGCACTTTACCTTGACTTGCGTCCTTTTGAAGGAGTTAAATTGGATGTACTCTATTCGACAAAAATAAGGTTATATATATTATGAAACAGAAAATTTTAATATATTTTTTTTAAGTTTCCTTATATTTTAATGGAGACTATGAACTTTTGTATTTCTTATGCAACACAATCATTAAAAAATCTAGTAGTAATAACTTACAAATGATTTAATAGTTTTCTCCATAAAATGAATATATATATATATATATATATAAATAATATATATATATTTATAGAATAATATTTCCTGTATAGGGAACTTCAGTTCCTTACCCTTGAATATATGTTGCACATTTCACTTGTTACATTTGCTGACAACACAAACTTAAATGACATTTTGTTGTTGCTGGTGGTTGCAGTTTAATTTTCTCATTTGGTGATGTTTGCATTTTTCTCTTTTCTTCCATTTTTCCCAGTTTGCGTGAAGTGTATTTTCGCAATTACAATTAATTTTAAAATACCCTGGAAATGTGCAGGCATTCCCATATCAAGTGACAATTAATGAGCTAAAGGTAGAACAGTAAAATACACTAGCGACAAGTGTAAAAAGCGTTTATTAAGATAATTAAAATGGATTACCGACAGATTTTAGTTACACGCATAGTAGATTTATAGAAGACCACAAATGCAAACCATAAATTGTAACCTTATTGGCTGCAAGATTGAGATTCATTTTATTTCTATTCCAAATTTGAACGCACACAATTGAGCCAATAAATAAAATTAAAAATATGTATTGCTTTCAATACAAATTTATAGTTGGCACTTCCAAATTTTATTTGATTCTTTTAATCTGGAAATTATTTATTCATTTTTACACAATTGTTGACCTCTTGCCAAATGAATAAAATGAATAAACGTCAATAAATGACTGAAAAGATAAAAGCATTTTAGTGTTGTGCCAAAAACACAAAATAATACTAATCGCAAATAAATATTTTATCTACCAGCTGGCAGATCTGTTGGCATGAAAGCCATTTTAATTACTTAGGAAAATAGGCAATTTACAGTTTAACAGGCATTCGCCATCTAAAATTAATATGACCAGACAGGTGTGGTAAGTTATTTGGCCTCCGCACCGATTTCCCGATGTCCCGAGTGATGGTGATGGTATGGTATGCCTGATTGGCCCCCAACAATATAGACGAGATTAGCGCACACCTCGGGTAATTTATTGGCCGTCAAGGACCTACGAAATGCGCATCTGCCTCCGGCTCATTATGCATGCGAAAAGGGCTCGTTGCTCGCTGCTCGGGTGCAAAACCCCATCCTGGTTTGCAGTTCCATTCATCTGTATTCCACACTCATTCATTCATTAATCGGACTGAGGTGGAGTGACTGGCATGCAAATTGATTTGACGCGTTGTCAATTAAAATGTGCAATTAATTTCATTTGGTTTGCCTCACATTATCGAATATGTAATTGGATGGGCCGATAGGACGATGGGCGATAGGCTTCAAAATTGCCTGGGGTCTGGGTTGGGGGATTAGAGATAGGGAATATAGACCCTGACAGCGGCTGCTAATGAGCTCAGTTAGCCAATTCAGTTTGTGGCCAGGATCGCGTTGTGCGTTTGCGTCTGCGTTGTGTGTGCCCATCTCAGTCGCTGTGTGTCTAAATTAAACCGTCTATGATATGGCAGAGAGCATGGCGTATACGCAATTAGTTAGTCAAACGCTGATTGCCGCACTTTAGACAATGCAGCTCAGGCAAATAGGGCCTAAACTTAACCCTTGGGCTTCGATTTAATTTTAAAAATTCTTTAAAAATAGTCATACATGGAAATACAAGCAAATTCTAAGAATGACATATGGAATTTTATCAATCGGACACCTCTTTAATGATCTGGCCTACTTCTAACCTAGATTCTTTAGATAATTTAAGTGTATTGTTATCTAAAAGCCACTTACAAATTAGAACCCTTTTTAAACAAAAACTATTTTAAAATGTATTTATTATGTTAAACATCTTAAATGCTTCAACTAAGCTGGGTTCTATTCGTATGGCTAGCATTATAAAAGCTAAATGCATAGGCGTCATTTTAAAATTACAAAACATTCGGCAACACCGGTTTGGTCTCGGTAATCTAAATTTCTAATTTCATTTAACTGTAAAGTAATGCTGCTGCAATTTAAAGAAATTTAGGCAACTATATTTAAAATGGTTTAGAAAATCTAATATTTACATAGGTATTTGTTACTTCTTACATAAATCCTATAAATAGCGAACATTCAAGATAGTCTGGGCTCTAACACTTGCCTGGCATTATAAAAACCAATATGCCTAGACTTAATTTTAAAATCCTAAGACTCTCGACATCAGCGATTCGGTCTCGAGGCTCTCGTCCCCGTCTCCCCAAATTAGTTCAAGGATTAGTGCAATAAAACTAACGTGCCATGGATTTGCGCAGCCCTTTTGTTGACTTAGGGGAACTGGGACGGAGGTCCTGAGAAGGTGGAGGAGCGGGCATGTCACAATTTCCCAATTAGCTACTCATTGAGATAAATTTCTTATGCAAATGATGACAAGGCCAAGTAAGGCGATCCGGGGGCGGGAAAGAGGTAAAGAGGGATTGAGGACAGGCGCTGGAGTGGCATTGGCATCCAAAATCCCCCCCAAAATACCCCTTCTATCCACGGCTGGCTGGGGAGTTTGGGACTTTGAGTGGGGCAACTGCGACGGTGGACAGCGGCAGAGTGACATTGACTGACTCGCAATGACGAAGACGCAGCGGCACATCCTTTGGCTCACTCTTCCTAATTGGCTGCTGACATTTGCCAGCTAACAACAGAAACAGCAGCGGAAATTACAGAAAAAGAGCAGGCGAAACACCAGCGTAAAGCTGGGTAAATTTGACATAATTAAAATACTGAAAACCCAGCTACAACGTAATGCCAGACGACAGCTCGAAAAGTTTTCGGAAAAAACAAAATAAATAAAAGGTGTAGCGCACATTTTGCTAATTTCTTTTGAGTGATAAACCCTAGGTGTTAATTACTTTTGCCAACTGTCCCATATTTCGTACAGAAATTGTAGCAATCCCATGACGAAATAGGGTTCCCGTTAAGATTGCTGTAGATCCAGAGGTTCATTGGACCTGACACCCAGGTGCGAAATAATTTCAGAGTCAGTGACTTGAAACGAGAGCTGCTAAACCATAGATCATGATTTAGAACGAAAATATCTTGAAGATCTTTGATTTTGGAACTTTCTTGAAGAAGAAAACTGATAGCTTAGGTCGAGCATATCTAGTTCGTTCTTATATTTCCCTTTAAATTCCAAGGCCATGCCTTTCTTTGGGGCACTTTTCCAAATGTCATCCTGTCCCTTTGCATTTCGAAAATTTAATTATAACTTGAATTTGCTTAAGGCTCTACCTCGCATACAAATGCAAACTTGTTTTGTTTGGTATCTGGGTGCGATAAAATTCACTTGAGAGCATCGCCTAGAACTTTGTTTGGCTTTCCCCAAGGGGGAGGCAAAGGACGTGGCGCAAACAAATGCAAATTGCTCATACGCCGTGTGGACCGAAAAACCAAAGTAGGACCCAAACGACACGGAGAGCAGAAATGGCGCTTATTAAAGTTTGACTTGTACTTTTGCATATTTTTTTATCATTATTTCATTTTCGGCGGGGTCGTGAGTGCAGCGGGGGGCAAAGTAAAAGTTTCGGATAACAAAAATTAAGCATTGCCTTTTGCGTTCCATGATAATTGCGAACAATAGACGCAAATAGGAGGATGCAACGGGGGAAGGAGGGTGTGACCATGTTAATGCTTCCGCATTTGCGTTCAGCTGCAACATTGCACCACTGCTTGAGCATGTGAATGTGCGTGAGTGCACTGGGAAAAATCGGGGAATTTTGTATAATTAATAAGGATTTAATGTGCTAACTAAAATATAAATTTTTTGACTGAAACATATCTCAATATAGCATAGAAGTCGCTGTAGATATCTTATCTTGTGTTTAAATATAAGCAAAATAACATACAACGCGAATTCTTCAGACGCGGATTGCCTAGCATGCATTTTGAAGAGGATGCCCATGCTATTTATACCTTTAAAGTCTATACAACTTTTCCTAAATAACCTTTAATTGAAAATTAATATGCTAATGATAAATATTTGAAGTGCATGTCCACATAAGTGTGTGTCCTGTACACATGCAGAAGTTTGTGTGCCAGCGACATTCACGCCTCGCTGCACTTTTTACATGCTGCATGTTGCCTGCGGGCATTAAGTGTGATTTTATGCGATTTGTACCAGGCAAACACCCGTTCAACACCGCCCCCTTAGCCGCCTACTTCCTGTGCCCCTCTTGGCCCTTCCCTCCCCCTCAGTCGACGCCACTGGTAAAAGAAAAAACCGCAGCAGCAATGCTAGAACCTTTCCCCCGCACTTCTTTTGCTAATTTACATTTGACAAATGTTTTGCATGCTGCAAAATTTTTGCCACTGCTGCGACGACTACCACGACGACTGCTGTTCGTTAGTACGAGGACCCCCTGTACCCCCTATAACCCCCTTATCCCCTAGAAGCCCCGCCCATGCCCCTTGGTGTTTTGCTAGCTGCATTTGTTTTCATTTGGTTTCTCTGCTGACATTGTTTACAGTTCAACTTGGTTGGAAATTAGTAAAAATCTCACACGAGCACCAGCCACAAAAATAAAAAAGCGAGACAATAAAAATACCAGCAGCTAGAATCGAAAAGACTAAAAAGTCAAGAGGGCACACAGAAAATTTCCAAAAACTAATTTAAATTGATGTTGTTAGCTTTTTTGCAGTCGGGGGGCGATTAAGCTTAAAATTCTTTAAAATATTAAATTCAAAAATAATGGTATATATATTTAAAGGCTACTTTTGCCAATTAAGTTAGATTTTTATCTTTGCCATACGAATAAGTTTGTTCCAGATCTTCTTGCTGCAATCACTATAAGTTTTCCAACAATTGGCACCAGCTTTTCCGGCATTCCTAGCACCAGATACTTTTCAGGAACATTGTCCAAAGATGGCCTGGGTAAATACCACCATTAAACCCAGAAAAGGTAGGAAATGAACCATTACATTTTTAAGCTCTTAATAATCAAAATTTATAGTTAAACTTACACCAACACTGCATTGAGTATCTCCCCAAAAATACTGCCATGCATAAAGGGGCGTTGAGATATCTCACAGATACTTTTGAGCAGACAGGCGCCTGCATTCCGATCTCCGAACCTGTAATGAGAATACCTCAGGGAAAGGCGATGACAGATGAGGCCATCTACTCACCGCTCCAGGCCCGTTTCCACGACATCGTACAGCCAAATTCGAGTCTCGTCCTGGAAAATCCTACTCTGGACCTGCTTTCGCCACTCCCTGGCCGTGGTAACGAATGTCGAGGTGTTCCAGAAACTCCACCAGTAAATTGGAACAGGCGATGGCACGTATTGGGCCTGGTAGTTGATGAATCCCCAAACTGACTGCAGTGTATCCGCCTGTTTGATGGGGAAGGCCAAGCCGACGACAATCTGGGGGAGAACAATTAGGAGTCGGAATGCCAAAGTTGGATCGATATCCGATGGTCAACCTTGTTTGTGCCCGAGCCATTGAAAATGGCCAAGCGTTTCGACCGGCTGAGGCTTAAGGCCGATGTTGATGTGGCATCCCCATATCCACCAGCACTCCCAACAAGGACGAACAGGAGCAGGACGGCGGAAGGATTCAGGTCCAACTGTTTGCCGCTGGAGTGCATGGTCAACTAATTTTGCAGCCGGTGCAACTTGCAACTTGCGGCGGCAATGGGAAACTCGATTCTTAGTTTGCCCAAGAAATTGACAGACAGAGAATTCGCAAAGTTAACAGAAAAGTACCACTGTGCACTGGGAAAAAAGAGTGAGGTGAAGGCACCCTTCAAAATCTTTAAGCAGGTGGGAAATTACTAAAACACAAAGTGAAAATATTGTTGAAATTGATGATTATACTACTAAAATTGCCCAATATTTACAACATAATTTTGTACAATGCTAGTTAACATATCATTTTCAATTAGTTTACAATAAGAATGTGTCTTAAACACTCATGTCACAATAAACCAATGACATACCACAGTATTTCCTACAACCACATTATGAATATTTTATAATGATGATAAACACATATTTACGCTGCAAAATGAATATGTCAAATCAATATCAAACAATAAAAACCGCAACTGAGGCTTTTCAGTGGCCACTCAATGAATTTCAGCAGCTTTTGGGAGCAGTCAAGGAACCTGATTCCGATCCGAAGAGCCTCCTTAACACCCACCTCCTCCAATCCTCCGTGGCCAAAATGGCATTGTGCGTAGGCCAGAATCCAATCGCCTCTGGCGAGGACTTAACATCGGATATCCAACCTCTGTCCCAGCAGTGCGAATCCTCTGTTGCCACCTGGTATTGTTGAAAGCCCCCAGGCTCTTTGACTGCCATTCTGGTTGCCGCTCCCAACAGAAGATCCTACCTTCTGGCGGTCCTTTTGTTCTGCCCACCAGCTGTAAATTGATTGCTGACACCGATTGAACTACCCACAGAAAGGTGCCACCAAACAATGTGAGTTCAAGCAACACTCGTGAATTTAACAGAGAAAACAATCTATGGTACATATGATAAAATAATGGACTCAAGAGCAAATATAATAAATATATAAAAAATGAGACACAGTAAAGAGAAATCATTATAATGATATGGTATTACATTTAATCTTGTAAAGTTAAATAATTTCTCATAAAATAATTCAAATTTAAAACTAAGTTAAAAAAACCACGTAGTTAATCTGAAAATTAAAAAGCACTCGATCAAACCGAGAATTACCAAATGTTTAAATCTCTTAATCCATGTGAAAGCCGTAGTGATTAAAATATTTTCAATATTAACCCCTTCTACATAAGCTACTCTTTTTATTACGGTTCTGTCGCGCTAAAGATTATTTATTGCGGTGGCTAACGGGCGAGCTGTCGACACTTTGGACAGGAATCAACCACCAATCGCTAGCCAAACATAGTAATTAAACAATCTGTTATCGGGCACTTTGACAATGTAGCGAAATAACCGTGCAATTAATAGGATGCGTAAGTGAAAAATCGACAAATTAGTATTACAGCTGCAGGCAATTGGTATGGGCGATTTGGGATATACGACCTATAATACTAAACGTATGCGGCAAAGCAGCGGACTATTTAGCACCTTTAAAGAGCACTTGAAATGACACAGAATCGAGTTAACGACACTCAATTGGGCGCTAATTGTACAATTAAACTTTGCCGCTCCGAAATGGAACGAAATCGATGTCCGGATGGCGGGGCATCAGTTCGCTTCGGACAGCTAATGGCATCAACATATCGTAAAGTAAAGAGTGGAGACCAGGCCTAATCGGTCCCAATCGAGAACCCAATTTGCTTCTAATGGTAATTATCTGCTTCATAAATTCGCGTTCAATTCCGCCCGGAGTGTGTCGGCCTTTCCAAATGACAGTGTTTTAATTGTAAAGCCCGATTTGACTCGGACCCATCGAAAAATCGAACCATCTGACCATCAGAACGACCATCTCTCGCGCATCGAATGTTGTCGAAAATTGCATTAATTTAACGCATGATTGGCATTGCCGGCAAATGGAAGCGTCACAGCTAAAGTGAAATTATGCAAATTTCGTCGCTGCCTTTTTTTCGGTGTGAGTGCCCAGGCACGGAGCAATCGGAATGTTCGATTGCTCAATTACACTCTTGAACAAAAAGGTGAACACTTTTGCAGAGTGACTGAAAAAATAAATTAAATTAGTGATAGTGATACTCGAAAGTATGGGCCGTTGCCTCGATATCAATAAACATTTAATAGATCCAAAGGTTAAAAGCTATTTTCAAATTTATTTAAATATATTTATAAAGAACGTGGAATGTGTTCACTTAAAAAACCAAATAATACGTTAGCTACAAAAAAAGGTTTCATATTTATTTGTAGTTTATCCTTTCATAGAAAAATAAACATATTTTGTTAAGTTTTTACCTTTTTATACTGATCTCCAATATTATATTGCCTATATAAAACTCTTTCTAGCTCTTTAGTGTTGACCAAGTGACTCTTGCTGCTTCCCATGAAGGAAAAATGGGGAAAACAATCAAAGTAATTGGATGTGCTGGAGCAGGCACTCTGCTTATATTGCTGCTGGCTCTTTGCCTGATCCAAAATTATGTTCCGCCTGGTGGTAATGTCTCCCACTCAATGGTCACCACAACTCCTCCTGCATCTTCTCCTGCCCCTTTGGAATCTGGAAAAGATGCGATGATGCGACTGCATCGGCAGAAACGTTACCTACTCTTCCCGGAGGGCTCCTCCTTCCAGCTGGTCTTCGACATCATCATACCCATCGTAGACTACACCAACTACGCCATCCTGGGCATCACCTGCTCCGTGGCCTGGGAGCTGCCCAGTAAGCCGCCCAGCGAGCTGATTGAAAACGTGCTCACGCGCATCAACGATGGCACCATCGGCACTGTCCGCCGGAATGGCAGCGTCTCTGTCCCCGACTCGAGTCCGGAGTTGGACCCACAAACGCAGTCCAAAATCCAAACCCCTTCCCCGAATCTGGATATGGACAATCGAGCCACAGCCACTGGTAATTGGCAGGCAGTGCACGCACCGCCAGCGAATCCACCGGCATATGCGGCCAATGAGCAGGACTCCCATTCCCACTCGTACTACACGAATATCCAACGCATCCCGGCCGCTTACCCATATGCAAATGCGAATGCGGATGCAAATGCAAATGGACAGCAGCGCCAGGCGCTATTTCCCGCTAATTGGCATGCGCGACAGTCGTTGGGAAGGTGGCAGGAGAGGGGGAAGGGGTCAGGAGCGGGAACGGACAACTGGTGGACGCGGAACGGGCAGCGGGTTCAGCAGAACTGGCAGGAGAAGCAGCTCAAGTGGGGTCCTTCGAAGTGGAAGTAAGTGAACTTTAGATATAGTACCTAACCCTATGAATTATAAATTTGTTTACAACTTAATTGATAAATTTCTGATAAAATTGAATTTAATGATTTCTGATAAAATTAATTTTTAATGATTTCCAGAATTTTCCAAATATGAATACCTCTTAAGAAAATTCTTATTAAATAATTTATATTTTCGCTTAACATTTTTTCAAAGTTAAATTTCGAATTATTCATAGAAAAATACAAAAAAGAAGTTATAGATCTCAACTCATAAGTTAGTACACATTCCTCAAAACTAATTAAAATTTTTAAACAGTTCCTACAGCTCTGGTTACTCTCAGCGACCCCGACAAGTGCTACGAGCACCGCCGGAACATCATATATACCCAGTTTTTGCAAGGCGCAGGAGACGAAGAAGTCTGGAACAGGATCCCCACTTTGAGCGACTTCACCTGCAGCAACATCTAAGCTCCAGGCAGCTGCTCTTTGGCAAAATCGAACGCCTTTACAAGTCGTAAGTTTAGGACCCAAACAAATCATTTTCCTCAGTGGTACAATAAATCCCGAATCCCCTAGGCGACGACTGAATGGCACCTCCTGTGTGCAGAGAGCTCTCTGCGAATCCGCCCAAAGGCAGCAGAGGCTTCAAGGAACAAATTTAGCCCAACCACAAAGCTTTATAATGGAACTACTCTCGGCCATCTTCCAACTGCCCAGCAGCGATGATGTGGCGGTGCCTGGGGAACTGGAGCTAATGATTTCCCCTCATTATCTGGAGGCCCATCGACAACGGGGCGACTGTCGACAACTCTACGCTGATTGCAATCACACATTCTGGCTGGAATAAATAGCAAACGGGAACAATAAATATGAAGAAATTAAATATTATTGGATTTTATTAACATTTGTTTGGAAACTTAAAGGATTGTATATTACTCGTTACTAAGGAAATGTATTTTGAATCTTACTTCCCTTTGAAAGTAACCCTAATAGCTCTTTCCATTGACAACTAACCCAACAAGCTAGTCGGATATTGAGAGAGAAAGATTGTGCTAAAGTCATTTGGAAGTTTCTTCGCTAAAAGCATTCCTCGAGCATTTAAGTTTATCCCCGGAAAAACTGAGACTAGTGATCACATTACTTCAACTTGAACTCCCCAACACTATCGGAATCGGAATCGGAGGATGATGGTAGATGGAAATGTGCTACTTTCGAGATGGGAACGAATAAACCAAAAGAAGGGAGAACAAGTTGGGAGCGTGAAAAAGTAATTTGAACCTTTAAATAGACCAATGAGCTCACGAAGCAAAGGCAAAAGACGCTCTACAAGACAAACTACTTGCCAAAACACAAAAGACGAAAAGTGTGAAAACTAATGAAAGACAAAAGGAGAGCGAAAGAAATTTAACGAACGGAGCTCAAACTCAAACTGGAAACTTTCTGTGGGGAGGAAAGCGGAGGGCCCCACTTACAATTAACGGCCAAGTTGCAGAACGCTTCTCTTTCTCTGTTTGGGCCAACATCGCGATACTTGGCCGACAGTTGCCGTATGGCCAACGCTTGGACCGCAAGTTGCAAGTAAAATGTCGACGCGGAAAAAGAGAAGCTCCATCAGCTCTATCAGCTATAAAGTGGAAAATTCCCCCATAGGTAATTGCTGGCTGAAAGTCCTGACTTTAGTTCTGCTTCTGGCCAACTTGGCCGACGCACTGAAGGCCGGGGAATCCATCCAGTTGGCAACCGGCAGCCCATCACTGGGCATAAACAATGCAGACAGCAGCCTGGAGCAGCTCATCGAGATGCGGCTGAATGAGTCGGCCTCCTCATCCGTCCAGAGCAACCAGTCGCAGGAGCTGTTGTCCCGGAAACGACGCTATTTGGTATTTCCGGAGGGCAGCTCCTTTCAGATGGGTAAGTTCCCCTCAGTCGCAGGACAGTGGCGTAGCTTTAAGGAACCCTGGGGGGTTTGGGTTGGGAACTTCGTAGTTCAAACTTATATCCCACATGATATAACTATGATATAACTAATTTCCAATTAAAAAAAAACAAATAAATTGGTGATCTAAATCCTAAAATTAAAAAAACAATTAGATTACCTTACCCCTTAACAAGGGTTTATAAAGCAGAAAATGCATCGTCTTAGTTTTGCAAATTAATGTATATTATCTTACCCCTTTAAATGACCCCTGACTACGCCACTGCCTTAAACCATGCAAATCACATGCCTCAATTAGCTTTTCCCCATCCGTTTAGTGTACGATGAAATTGTGGGAGTGGTGGACCATACGAACTACTTGATTCTGGGCATTACGGTGGCTCTGGCCTGGGAGCTGCCCAGCAAGCCCCCCAGCGAGGAGCTGGACGACCTGCTCACCAAGTTGGAGGACGGAACCATAGACATCAGTCGCAACGACACCGTGTCGAACATAACCTATGTGGATGACGCCTCGGGATCGTCCTCCTCCACGACCACCACGAGCAAGCCCCCGGACTACAAGCCCAACTACATCAACTTGTCGAGTTACGGCGGCTCCTCGAGTGGCGGCAACTCCTACTACAGCTCCTCGCCCGTTTTCCGCACTCCGATGCATCCTTCGCATCAATATGCCGACAGCTATTACCACCGCCCAAAGGGGGGCAGGAGGAAGGACAACCACTACTACTACACACGACCCGGGGTCAGCTCCAGCAATCCGTTCGCCAAGTGGGCGCGGCCCTACACTCCCGCCCAGAACTCGCGCTATCCTTACTGGGCACTCAACTCGAGGTAAACAAAAATATTTTCTTGAAGAGAAAGATACAATTTTAGTTGGCTAAGAATATCAAGATAAGACATTTCATTTCAAATTTAAATCAGAAATGTTATAATAATATTCCGTAAAATTAATATACTTATAAGTATCTAATGGAAACTAAAAACGCAGAGTTTTCATTTTTAATTTATATAAATGTCTACCTATTATACAGACTCAAAAATCGCTACTACGGGTATAAAACTCAACAGGCAGCACCACCGACGGCGCATCGTCGACAGGACAGCAGGACAACCACAACCAGCACAACTAGTCGACCCACTCGGAGACCGGCACCTCGCCATCATCGCATATATCCGGTGTTTGGAAAGCGCAGCATTCCGGATGCAGCCAATCCGCATCAACGTCAGCGACGCAGTGGAGTGGCCACCGAGCACGAGGACAAGTTGAGTCGCCTGGAGCAGCTCCAGATCAAGCACCATCGCAGGAGCCGACAGGCGTTGTATGAGCGAGTGGAGAAGTATCTGGATAAGTGAGTCGGACTTCAAGAGAAGTGGGGTTTCATCTCTTTGATTTTAAACAGGCTTATATACATAAGCAATGCAGTCTAATCCGCATTTGTTTTGCATAGTTTAGAGTTTCAAGTAATTCCTTAAAGATACGCTTTAGAAAATACAGTCCCATTAGTTTTTGGAATGTCAACTGAAGATAATCATTAATGAATAATGATTATAATATAATAATTAGCTATCCTATTTCCTCTTTCCACAGACGAGGTCACCATGGCCACCACTGCGTACTGCGAACTCTCTGCGAGACTGGTCAGAAATCAGGGGAGGAGGAGCCCGGCACTTTGTGGGCGAACTGATGCGAGCGGTGTTTACCATTCCGGAAGCCATGGACAACGAACCGGTTGCCTATCGCGACACCCACTACGACAAGGCCCACGCCTCCAAGCAGGACTGTGCGCCCTCTACCCGGGATGCAAACAGTCCATGTGGCAGGCCCATTCATACAATAAACAACCATTCCCCAAGTTTTTGAAGTTGTTTTATTTAGTTCCACTTGCCACCTATTAGCCAGGCCAGAATGTTCAGCTTACAAGAATCCCGAAACTGACGATCGCAATCCTCCGCATCCATGTGCATGATCCGAGAATAGTCGTCCTCCACGCCGGATGTGGTGGGAAGTCTAAGATAGATTACATAATGATTAGTTGGGTTCAAATATTTATATAAAAGTGATATTCTACTTACGTAAACACTAGTCTCACAATATCGTGTATCATAGAAAATCCGCGAGGCAAAAGTAGACGCTTACTATCACAAATAGCTCTCAGAACACAGGCTTTAGCATCGATTCCCAGACTGGATGCAATGGAAAAATTATAAAAAGACTTTTCTTTAAAATTTAAGTAATCCTTACAGCTTACTGAACCCATCAAAGTGTTCGAACAGCTGCCTGCGATCACGATGTCCATTGTAATGTCGCATGTCCTTGATATGCGCCAATTCTGGATAGTGAGCTGTTTCCTGGGGTGCCATATCTGGATCGTAGGGTCATCAAACGGCTGCGACCTCACATCCTCATATGGTTCCACCTCAGGATCATAGTATTCCCCATCAGCGATCTATACCAACGTTTTGACCACTTGGGCGACTGCGTAGTCCACTTGCTCCATCTTCCGGGCTGACTGTATTTCTCATAGTTGTGTTTGGCTGGCGTCCAATTTTCATAACGTTACCGTATTTTGACCAATGTGCCCACTTGGAAGGATCCATATAAGAAGGCTTCGGGGGCCTCACATCAATGCGTTGCTGGAGTTTTATTGGCTTGGGTTTCTGCAGAGGCGTGGCCTTAAATCTCCAGTTAGTTCCCGGTATCCAAACGTAAGTGGGTTCCGTGGTGGTCTTGGGTTTCTCCGTAGTCGTAGTTCTCTGACGATATCGCTTTGGGTAGACATCCTCGCGTTTTGTGGGCACAGGATAATAGCAGGCCTGCTCGATATTCATGGCCACTCCTCTGGGATAGGCTGAGATAAGTCCTTTACTCAGCTGCCCGGTAAACTTCAAATTTGATCCAGGCGGAAATAACACAAAGCGCTTTCGACGCGAAAAGACCCGATCCAACACATGATTTAGCTCCGTCTGATTCGACTCCACTTGAGCTATAGTCAAATGGATAAAACTCAAGAATATCAACAGATCGACACGCATTGCTGCGAAGTACTGATTGAGATATACCAAATCAAGACAACTAGTACCAACTTGACTTCAATTGATGTGTTTGCCATTGTAATCGGGTGCTAATTGCGCAGCCAACAATTGAAGAACTTATTTTAATAAGACTTGTCTGGAATACGTGATTGATGTATTTAGGTGGGTACTTAAAAAAATCCATACTTTATTCCACTCTGCCGCTCAGCAGCCAAATCAATAAATTCATGTTACACTTAGATTTTAAATCCGCTGCACAGTCCTCGGGTCTTGGTCCATTATACGACTATATTCATCTTCCAAGCCATCCATACGGGGCATACTTTGAAATATTATTTAATTTTAAATACATTTTTTATTATGTTTTACCAAAACTCACGTGAAAACCACACGCAACATATCCTGAAGCATGGAATAACCAGGTGGCAGGAGTAATTTTTTGCTATCGCAGATGGTGCGTAAAATACAAGACTTAACATCTATGCCAATCCTTTGAGAGTTGAAAGATCTTGAGACAAAATTACAAAATAAAATTCTATAATTACCCACAGTGAACTCAATTTGGTAAAGCGATCAAATAATGATCTGCGATCTCTATGGCCATGGTAATGGTGGGACTCCCAAGATGGCTTTTTCCATTTGTTTTCCCATCTTGGAGAGGGCGTAGTCCATTTCGACCACTTTGCCTTGTTTGGATCGGTTTCTTTCCACTTATAATTCTGCCATTTTTGTTCCTGATTCCACTTTTGCCACTTGAACGGATTAGCATAGCTATCATCATCGATACGATGAGTCTTCGGAGGCGGTTGTCTCCATTTAGGTTTGGGCAACGTCTGTGCCTTGAAACGCCAATCGGTACCGGGTATGTAAACTATGGAATCGGGCAGCTTTTCCGGTTTTTTGGTCGTGGTCTTGGGCAGAAATTCTTGGGGTATATATCCTCAACAGTTCCGGGAACTGGGAAATAAACAGCTTCTTCCAAGACGAATGTTATACCTTTCGGATAGGTGGCCAGCAGACCTGTGGCAAAGGAGCAGGTGAACTTTAAAAACGACCCCGGCGGAAACAACACTGCTCTTCTCCTTCGGTTAAAAACTCTAGGCACTACGTCTTTTAGTTGGGATTTCTTGTACCTGCCAAGATCATCTCCCAAACTTGGCCAAAAAACGGCATACAGCACCAACAAGATAAAGAGCTTGGCTCGTAGCATCTTGACCAACTGAAAAGCGTCATTTATTCGAGTTCTTCTGAGAGGCCAGTTATTCTGACAGTGCCAACGAATTGACCAAATATTTACCCACAGCTGATTGATGTCTTAATATATTTACGGTACGCGTATGTCCATTAACCCACCGACCTAATTTGCCCAGTAATTGTGGGAGTTGTCTGTGTGTTGATCGATCAGTTTTCTTTCATGATTCAAGCCGATCAGTTCTCAAAATGAAACTAGGTTGGTTAACTTGGGGTATGTTAACTATCCTTCTGACAAGACAATCGCAATCTCTTATTTGGCCAGCCTCTTCTAATTTGGGTGTAAGTAAGGACTACACATAACTGGAACTATATACTAACCTCTATCCTCATTAGTTGACCCTTTCGGTGTCCACACCCATTGCTGAACTATTCCCAGAGCGTCGTATACTGATCGATTGGTGCTTTGCCATCTCCTACAATTATCCGTACAACCTAACTGAGTTCTATAGCATACCCATATGGCCGGGGTTTGCTAACTATAAAGCGAAACGTGACGTTCCTCAACTGGAACTCACGGATGAGAGTTTTTATACCAAATACGGACATGATACAGGGAATGGTATGCACCCCAAGGACTTTTCGGCTGGGGAACTCTATGCCTTTCTTGAGGACACACTAGCGGGATACGGCTTTCATGAGACTTGCTTGCTAAGAAGTGTTTGTGAATTGGCCCAGCATCCCTTCGATGATAACCATCAACACTTGCTTAGCGACATTGTTACTTTTGTCCTGAGGTAAAAATACAATTTAAAATGTTAATCATTTTATAATCTAATAAAACTTTTTCCCCAGCCCCTCCCAACACGAAGGTTTTCGGGATGACGAACATGTATACAGAAATGCCTACGAACTGGCCGAGCAAGATGGATTTCTGGGTCGGGATTGTTTGAGATTATATTCCCATTGCAAGCACGATCTTTTAAAACTCATGAGTCAAGTCATATTTCACTAGAACCAATAAAACCGGTGGAAATAGGCCTATATGTAAATTGCAATGTCTGTGCGTTTCATTAGCAGCTACTGGGAGTCTCTAATTAACGCAGTGCGTCAGGTTGTCCAGAAATCCAGAAACTGAGATACACGTACTTTTCGGTGACTGTCACAATAGAATGTATCTCCCAAGTGTCCACTTCATTGGAGTTCTGCTGTCGTTATGGAACATTCCCATAATGGCAGAATTCCCTTTGCTCTTTCCGGCAGCATCCGTTTACCAGGTCACCTCCTCGCTTTCGGTGCCCGTGGTCATTCCGGATCGCAAACTCTTCTGGGATTGGGGCATTCAGATGAACTATGCCCTGCCCGCTCAGCCGTCCTCCTTCTACGCAGCCACCATTTGGCCAGATGAGTTTCACGACGGGGAAGGCGTCATTTGCGGAATGAACCGCAAAGTATCTGCCCGGAGGAGTTTCCACGATTCATCCCAGTGATTTTACGGCCGGAGAGCTGTACGAGAGCCTGGAGAACATGCTCGTCCGATATGGTTTCGATGAGTCCTGCCTCCTGCGAAGTGTTTGTGAACTGCCCGACATCCTTTCAAAGACATCGAAAACAACATGCTCACCGCTCTGTTGACTTTTACACTGACGTAAGTAGATGTATGATGATTGTAATGTCGAGAATTCTCTAAAAACAACTTAAGGAATCCCAATTAAATTTTTAATAATTTCCCTTGCAGTCCCTCTTTGCACGACGCTTTCGGCCCCGGAGAAAATCTCTACCGGGAAGTTTACGAACAGGCCGAACAACAGGGATTTCTAGGAAAGGATTGTGGCCATCTTTATTCCAATTGCTCCGTGGACTTCCTCAGTGGCATCAGCAGCCTGTTGAGCTGACAGTATTTACCTGATCCATTAAACTGAATGTCCACAAGCAGGCAGACCAATTATCCACAAACAGAGGCATATACATTTACGAGAATGTTTTCGATTTAATGAAGATTATCTGTAAAATGGACTTGTGTGCCCGTTCAGAGTTCATCCTGCCCAATTAAATATACACAAATGTTAGACTGCACTGTGAATATTTCATCTGACCAGTCGAGTGGCTAGGTTTATTATATCTATTTTACAGCTGGGATATGAGCGATGGCATTGACCCCCAAGGAAGCCAATCTGTTCGGCTTTCTCGTATTTATCTCGATAATGCTGCTCGTCTTCGGAGAAGCCTTCGTGTTGGGAGGGTCTGGAATTAAAAAAATAATAAAATCAGTTAAAATGCTTTAAAATTAAGGTTAAAATGGTTTCCCACAGATGTGTTTATTTTTTATATAATGGTTGTTTTTGGTAAAATAGGGTTTCAACTTACGTGAGCAGGAAAGTGATGACCTGGTGATCACTCCGTAGAAATGGTCTTCGGCAAAGGGATGGAGGGCCAGCTCGCAAACACTGCGCAGCAGGCAGGATCTATGGAAGCCGTAGGTCTCCAGCATGCGCTCCAGACCCTTGTACAGTTGCCCGGCCGTAAAGTCACTCGGATGCGTCAAATCTTCCAGATTCTCATGCTGAAGATTTGCACCCAGCCTGTTGTCCAACTGGCGCTTTGCCTGCGGGCCAGTTCATCCGCCCAGATAGTGGAATTGTAGAAGGCGAAACCGTCGCAGGAAGGTTATAGTTCATTGAAAGCCCATGTCAACAAAAACTTTGGTACGGGGTTCAGATCGGCGGGAATGGAGATGGATGAGGTAATCTGGAGTGTTGTTGAAGCAGGATACAGGAGAACTCCACTAATCGGGCGAACCAACGTGATCAGCAGCAGGGTGACCTGGCTGAGATTTCCAACGTTCTGTAGCTTTGCGCGAACATGGTGTTGATCCACTTGGGGAGCACAAAAGAGCCAGTCGAAATCGAGTTCTTGCCATTGTCTATTTGGGGATTAATTAAGAAGAGCTGCAAATGAGCGGATCAACGACCAGAAACAAATGCGTGAAGAGCAATTAGAACGGTCCTCAAAACAATTCTGAAAGTGGAGCGTATCTTCCATCATCGTATGGCAGCGTGATCTGGCCAATCAAGAGCTTCTCCACATCACCCTATTCTTTTCCGCAAGAACCATTTTATTTCCTCTAGTCATAATTGGAAAAGTTGTCAATTTCTTGGACAAACAAATATTGCGTTCTCTGTGGATCGTGGCGCAGATCGAAGTTTAAACAAAGCCGTATTAGTTAGCATTGCACTCCAAAACAAACAAGATGGTCCACAGGGTTCTCACCTGGCTTTTGCTGCTCCTAACTTTGCTATTCACTATCGATCTGGTGGTAAGCCACACTAGAAATATTTATACGACAGATGGAAGCCGTTTGGGATTAAGCAGAAGTATCAAAATACTAGATGGAAATAGTAATAGCAGTTTTACTCCTTTGAGTCGATCGAAACGTTTGGCTATCTACAATGGCCAGGGAATTGTCAAGGTGGGATCTTGTATAGATCTATTACTTCTCGATATCTATATATCAACCATATCAACTATTCAGTTGGTCCCGAGCTTAGCGTATCCCGTGAAACAGGCCGACAAGGACCAATCCTTTTGGTGGTTCTTCAACATACAGGGCCAGTGGATACCCACCACCGTTCCCCTCTACTGGTGGAGCTTCTGGAACACCACAGCCTTTGTGTCCACAGCTCGGGAGTGGCGCAAGGACATTCAGGCGAAGGTTTGCACGACGAGGCCCGATCCTGGGTGTACAATGCCATCGAAATAGGCATGGAGCAGTGAGTTTGATTTATTTTAAATATTATAATTTATGATACCTTTGACTAACTGTCATTTTCCCATAAAAATCATTCCTAAACCCCTTTTCCTAGATTGGATGGAGCATATGGAGGAGTCTGCCTGCTGAGAAGCATATGCGAAATCTCTCAGAAACCCTTTCAGAACAGCAATATCTTCAGCGAGATTGTAAACGCAGTGTTGGTGTAAGTACACATTAAGTACGAGGAACCGAAATATTTTCAATCTATTTCAGCCCAGCTGGACAATGTGGGCAGTAAGTATTTGCACGCCCGGGATGCCGGACGTGGAGGAGCCGATTGCGACGGACCTACAGCGACTGCAATCCACTGCTCTGGACCCTTGTCAAGAACATGGCCAAGAACCCGTTTTAATGATCAACCATTTTTGTCCTCCAGTCACTCAGGAAATAACAATTTTAATTTTCTAAACAAAATAAAAATTTTTAAATGCTTCAGAATCTCGGGATCTCCTTAGTTATTTTTCTTGCAAATGGCTCTACGGCGAAACTCGGCCCAAACCTCGCAGAGCATCGGTTTCACCAGGCAGGTGCACTCCTTCAAGGGCAGGGCGCCGGGCCTGAGGCGCTGGCACTCGGAGAAAGAGGGATACGGGGTACGGGGCTTCACACAGGGCAGAGGTCCCCTTTCCCGCTTGCACGACGGAGGTCGACGACCATCGCGATGGCAGCGACGCGCCAGCCGGGGGCAGTCCTCCTCCGTTTTATCGGGACAGGGCTGGGGACACGCTGTGGAGGGCTTGGCCGAGGGCTTCCTGCGCTTGATGGGCGCCGGCTTGGCCTTGGCAAAACAGCAAATCTTCTTGGGTTTGATCTGGATGGGCGGACAGGCCACCCACGTCTGCCAGTACTTTCGCTTGGCCTTGTCCGACTCCACGTAGTAGATGTCATCGAAGCGTGGATTGAACGGACAAGTGGTGTCATCGGGATCGCAGAATGGATTGAGCCACATCGACACCGACTGAACCATCTTGGGCTTCTTCTTGGGTGGCGCCTGGATATCGGGTTTTCCGCAGGGGAACTTGGTCAGCACCTTGGGGCATCGGTTTTCTCCCTCACCCTTCTCACAACCAGAAGCGAATCGCACACAGCTGTTCACCGCACCCTTTACCATTGCGGCGGGACGGAGGAGCAGGGCCCGAGAGGGATTCACACCACTAATTGCCATTCTGAAGCTAACAATTTTTGAACTTTTTACCGAAATGGATATCCAAAATTTGTAGGCCGGAGAAATTTAGATGGAATTTAGATGGAAATCAAATGGAATTTTGAGAAACACGATACTGGAGGCGAGAGACCTATCCAGCTCGAAAACGGAATGAGAACTGAGGACTTTGGGTTTACCCCCACACCACATAAATGACACAACGCGGAAGTTCGATTCCCAGTTTACTGTGTTCACATTTTTTTACCACTCTGGGTGAGAAAGTCCAAAACATTGTAAGGGCAACTTGGGGAATAGAATCGGGCACAATCCTGGATGTCCATGCGGTGCCTGTACTTATCGTCGGCTATCTCCTCGGGCACTCTAAAAATTAGTAAATTCAATGGATTTCATTATAATGTTAGTGTTTCAACTCACGTTAAGACGATTCGCATAAGATCCTCCAAGAGAAAACCCTGGTCATGACCTTCATTGAATTTGGCCCTCAATTCGCACATGGCTCTCTTAATACATGACCTAAGATCTAACTGGAAACTGCGAGAAAAGGTTAAAATATTGATTTATTATTTAGTTTAGAAGTTAACATAGCTTACACTTTTCCCATGGCCTCAAATTGATCAAAAATCTCTCGGCGCTCTCTATATCCACGATTTAATTTCCAACTGGGCACATGAGCCCAGGATTCATAAACCTCTTCATGCGGTTGATACTGCTTCTCATATTTACTAGTGGAAGATAAACTCCAGGGAGTTTGATAAAATGAATCGCGGTTTAATGTGGGGCTACAAAAAATAAACATTATACTATAATCTTTAACAATAATATAAATGCCAGTTACCTCGCCTTATAGACATGTTCCTTGGATTGGTAGAAGTTCTTGCGATTTAAAGGCGAAGATGCACTCCAAGTAGTTTTGTAAAAGGAATCCCTATTGAAGGCAGGACTAAAAATACATTTAATTTGAAAATTGTTATGTTCTTAAACAAAGACCTTTAGTAATTTACCTAGTTTTAGTTTGGTAAAGGGATCCTCGATTAACAGCGGGGCTGAAACAATATATTCCGAATTATTATCTTGAACCACAAGTTATTAATAATTTACCTGGTGTAATATGCATGTTTATAAGGCGTGGTGTAATAGGGATAAGCAGGTCTTTTGTAATAAGACCAATCATATCGACGTTTTGGCGTGGGCTTTGGCCTGAACCTCTTCAGAATCTTGGGCTGCCAACCCTCAATAGAGTCGGGCAATGGGATGTACATGTCGAACTCCAGACTATACTGAAGCCCACTAGGTCGAGCACCCAAAATGATTTTGGTGAGGGCGGCGGTCAGGAGAACCTGGGCCTTGTCCGGAAATATTAAGCCCCTCACCCGTCGCGATAGAACGCGATTCTCCAGAGAGGACTCCAGCAGATGAGTGTGGTTCCCCTGAACCGAAGCAATGGTTCCGAACCAAAGAAGTACCAGAATCGTGGACCTCATGCCGTCACTCCAAGAACACAACTGATCTGTGCGCCAGGTACTAGTAGTAGAAAATTAACGCCAGGTGAGCAGCGCTAATTGAGAAAGATGAGCTGGCTTACAGCATCAGGTGGGCCTTGATTCGCACGCAGCTTACATGTCACGTTGCTTTGTTTAAGATCAGAATCATTTCATCAGACGCCGCCTCTTTAGAAGGCTACGTTTTGGCATTCCAATACTCTTACACAATTCCCAGACTTTTTTTTTAACAATAACTTTATAACACACAAACACATCTTAAGAATGGTGAACATCCACGGCTGTACCCGGATGATGGTGAACCGCTGCATCGAGCTGCTCCGCGCAAGAATCGAGTGCGCCTCGACGCGCCACATCGCCAGGCGGTACCAGCTTCCCCGGGATCAGGGTAAGGCTCTAGCCCAATACCTACCCGAGGAGCAGGTGGTCAGGGAGCGGCAGAAGGCGGACATCTACAAGAAGAACAAGCGGCGCTCCATGTGGGAGCAGGACGAGGGCCACGGCGGTCGAGTCTCCGGAAGGGACAACCAGGAGCGCTTCGATGACGAGCAGTACCGACCGCGGGAACTGGAGAAGCGCAACTACGACTGCACCTGGATCAATTTTCCGGAGAGTGTGGCGGCCAAGCAAAGCCGCAGAAAAAGCTACTTGGATGTAATCGAGGATGAGACGCCTCGACGTCGCAGAAGTCAGGTATAGGTTCCTTAGCTTTTATTTCCCTATTAAATAATATATTTTTATTAAAAATGATTAATTTCATTCCCAGGAAGACCGACCGAATACCGCAAAACCGTGGGATGATGAGGCCCGCGCTTTTATCAACCAATGGGAAACCAATACAGCCATGATCAATCGAAACCGATTTGCCCGGACCACTGATTCATGTCCGCCACCTATTGTATCTTCCCGGATGTCCAACGCGTATCGCACCCGAAAACGCCAGTTCTTATACTAGTACTAGTCCAGTTTTACTTGACAGTATCCGCATAAGAAATTCAAGTGATTGTACTTTCTAGTAGCCTGATCAAATTGTTAGTGCACAAGGCAACCGATTTTAAAGTGTCAAAATCCGAAAACGTATTACAATGTTGTGTGTCTGTAGACCAGATGTGATTTCAATATCCAAATAAATTATCGAAATTAATCCTTTCTTTCATGGCTCTTCGGGGGATTAGAAGATTCATGCCAACATGGAGAATGGTGCGCAGCATGTCATCCCAACAGAAGGATTCTGGAAACCTAACCAAGCATATACAGGATATGCTTAAAACTCTGAAGCAAAGGACCCAAAAGAGAAACGAAAATGTCCGTATAATCCCAAGGAACTGCAGAGGGAGAGACTTACGATGTTCATCAGAAGAAAGCTGTGGGGTCATCGACGTCCGTTCTGAAAGTAGGATTTGTGAATCAAGAAATAACCGAATCTTATTTTGAAATTAAAATACATAGATTAACCCCTTAGTTCAAAACGAATATTCGACTTTTATTTGAAACTGATTGACTTGATGATTTAAAAAATGAATTCAAAATGAAAAGTATGTTTTAAAAAGGTTTGTGCCAGCACTAAAGGTTCACCCAAGTTCCCCACCATTGGGTTTATTTATTTTTAATGCTTTCGCGGTTCAGTATATATTTCGAAACCAACTAATATATTTTTGAAATGGTCGTTGAGCGGCCACACTGGAGCTCACGTTTAATTGTTTATTATTCGGCGGTTGGTTTTTAATTGTTTTTCGACCATGGCGCTCCTGAGAAACGCCTCCAACGGTTTTTGGGGCAGCTTCCGTCGGTTCGCCAGCAGCGGATGTACGATCTACAGCCTCAGTTCCGGTCATGTCAAGTGCGGTGTGTCCGTAATCCGCGTCTCTGGGCCGCAAACAAAGAAGGCACTCCGAGCCATTGTCGCCAATAAAGAATATGAACCAAAGGCAAGTCAATTTATACTATATATATTTAAGATATGGGAACCTTGACCTAAAAATTACAGGGGATTTTTAGAATACAGAAACTGTAAGATATTCCTTTTAGACCTAATAGACATAAAATTGATAAACTAAAGCCATATTAATATTTAATTTTAAATACAAACTTTTAAAAATATTTGCTGGTTCGAATTGTTCTTGCTCGAATAGCTAATATATATAGAAAGGCTTAACCCATCATCTTTCAAGACCTGTTGATTTTTTATATTTCTTTTAAGAGGAAGTAGGTATTGAAGAAGAAGGAAGAAGGTATTTTACGTAAAAACAAATAATATCTTGAATTAAAAATGACTTTATATCTCGGGTGATTTTGTCGAAGAATTTAAAAAACTATTTCCAGACATGTAACATGGGCGGATCTATAGGATTAAAATTTACAACTTTATTTTTAAATGGCAAGTTGCCAAGTTGTATTTAAATAATTTTATTCACGGACCACAAAGTTGTTGTCTTGTTGGGTCTATTGCTGGAAGTATATATAATAGTCAGCTGCTTTCAGAGTACGCTCTGCAAGGGTATCAAAATCTTTACCTGAAACCTGCGGAACAAAATAATAAAGGGTTGCTAATTGACGCTAAAAAAAAATAATGTGCTCGTGTAGTAAGATTAAGACTGTGACTTATAAATTAATTATTTTATTTGTAAACTGTTCTAAACTTTTCCAAATAGGCTCGCCAAGCGTATTTGAAATCCTTCTACCATCCTGCTAGCAAGGAGATGATTGATAGAGGACTCTTACTTTGGTTTCCGGGACCGGCTTCCTTTACTGGCGAGGATTCGTGCGAGTTCCAGGTTCACGGATCCCTGGCTGTGATTGCCGCCATGCTGGATGCACTGGGAAAAGTGGATGGTCTGAGGCCAGCGGAAGCAGGAGAGTTCACCAAAAGAGCCTTCTTCGGTGGCAAACTGGATTTGACAGAGGTGGAGGGATTAGCCGATCTCATACATGCCGAAACGGAGGCACAAAGGAAGCAGGTGAGCAGTAATATAAACTAGATCTATGTATAGTATCTAAAATAAATAATATTCCTTCTAGGCCTTGCTGCAGAGCACTGGAGCACTGGCGCGCCTCTACGACAACTGGCGACGCCGACTTATTCGGTGTGCCGCCCACTTGGAGGCCTATATAGACTTTGCCGAGGAGGAGCAGATCGAGGGCGGCATTATCCTTCAACTCACCAAAGAACTGAAGGCGGTGAGGAGTGAGATTCGCGAGCATTTGAGTGATCAGCGACAGGGCGAGCTCCTCCGTGATGGAGTTCGCACGGTCATCATCGGAGCACCCAATGTTGGCAAGAGCAGTCTTCTGAATCTCCTCTGCCAGCGATCCGTGTCCATAGTGACGGATCAGGCGGGGACTACCCGTGATATTATAGAAACAATGCACAATTTCGGGGGATACCCGGTGGTGTTTTCGGATACAGCCGGACTACGCCGATTTACTACGGATAGTATAGAACAGGAGGGAATGCAGAGGGCCAAGGACTGCCTGGCTCAATCTGATTTGATATTGCTCCTTGCAGATGCCAAGAATATCACACAACTGTCCCACGATGACGCTGTTGCACCATTTGTGGATAGTTATCTGGGGGAACTGGATATACCACTGGACATGTGCTCGGGAAAACGCCTGCAATTGGTGGCCAATAAAACGGACACCCTTTCGGATGAAGAAACCCAGCAGTTGCACAAGCTATCCAATGTCTTGCCCATATCCTGTCATAAGCCCGATAAGATGCCCGCTTTTCTGGGATCTCTGGAGAAGCAGCTGCAGGAACTGTGTGGTGAGCCACGGGCGGAGAATCCACGCATCACAAACTCACGCTACCGGCAACAACTGGAGCGCTGCATAGAGAACATAGACATATTTCTGAGAGATTACAGACCCGATGTTTACCCGGACATGGCCATTGCCGCCTCCAAGCTGCGCAACGCCGTACGCTGCATCGAACGCATCACCGGGCACATTAGCTGCGAAGATATACTCGACGTCGTCTTCAAAGACTTTTGTATTGGAAAGTAATTGATAAAGACAGTTGATAGTTGTTAGGCTCGATGATTTAATACTACTGCCCCGTTGAGTATTGAATAAAGTATATATACATTTTAACGCTGAGAAAGCGAAAAGTGGGTTCAGGGTGGTCATTTTAATAGTTTTTTTTATTTTAATAGGTAACCTTTACAATATAATCAAGATAAATCTTTAAATCTTCTAAAAAAAGATACAAAATATATCTGTAATCAAATATATATAATTCTTTCTAAATCTCTTTTTGTGTTCATAAAAATTAAGAGCATTTAACAAGGTACACATTTCTAATGTGTAAGTTGAAAAATATTGGGTTGGCAAGAAAGTCATGTCGTTTTTTTTCAATATTTTCAAAGATGATTTATTTATATCAGGACTTATAATTAATCAATTATGTATTGGCCGTTTTGTTCGACCACTAATGACCATCTCTCGGGCAGCTGCATAATTCCGCGCTCGAAGAACTTTTGGTCTTTTCCAGCAAAGAATCGAGACAAGTGGTTTTCGACAGCCTCATCTGAATTAAAGTTTTTACCATTCAAAGAGTTTTGAAGAGAGCGAAACAAATGGTAATGTGAGGGTGCTAAGTCCGGACTATAAGGTGGATGTGGTAGCACTTCCCAATTCAGCTCCGTTAATTTTTGCCGAGTGACCAAAGATGTGTGGGGCCTAGCGTTGTCATGGTGAAAGACTATACCCTTGCGATTAGCTAGTGCCGGCTCCTTTTCTTTAATTTTTTCCGCCAAATTGGATAGCTGGCGACAGTACACATCTGAATTGATGGTTTCATTCCGTCCCAGCAGCTTAAAGTGCACTACACCCTTCCAATTCCACCAAACAGACAGCATAACTTTCCTCTGATGGGCTGGCTCATCTTTCTTGCTCCATGATCTTTTTCGTTGGACATTATTGTAAACAACCCACTTTTCGTCGCCAGTAATGATCCGCTTCAAAAAAGGATCGTTTTTAATCCGTTGCAGCAGAGAATAGCAGATGTTGATACGCTTAGTTAGGTGAATTTCCTTTAAGTTATGCGGAACCCAAACATCGAGCTTGCTTACGTAGCCAAGTTTCTTCAAATGGTTTTCAACCGTTGTATGCGACACACTGAGCTTCTCTGACATCTCCCGCGTTGAATAGCGCCGGTTTTCATCCAGCAAAGCCTGAATTTGTTCGTCAAAAACGGCCGATGGTCGACCAGAACGTGGGGCGTCTTTAACTCCAAAATCTCCAAGCCTGAATTTGGCAAACCAGCGCTGACATTGGCGATCACTCATGGCATCTTTACCATACACTTCGCACAATTTTTCGCGAGCTTCGACCGCTTTTTTTCCTTTTCGGAAGTAAAAAAGCAAAATATGCCGAAAATGCTCACTTTGGTCCTCCATGTTTATTTTGCTATTGCTTCCACAAATGTTATCGAATAATTACCAAATTTTCGTCGATAGTACCTAAGACAATAAGCTTTAAAACGATACTAAAAAGATACGAAAAAGATTAGTCGTAAATAAATTAGATTAAAAACGATTACTAAAAAAAACGACATGACTTTCTTGCCCACCCAATACATACATTTTTTACTTTATATATTAACGATTTGAAAAATATCTCGTTATTTTTAGTGAGACCTTGCGTTTGTGGGTTACCGTTCGGTAGTCAGTGCTGACCTGGTCACACAGTGAGGTATTGTTTACGTGTTTTTGCTTGGATAGATTTGTGTTATTAGGAAAACATGTCATCCTGGATTACAGGATTGGCGGACAAGGCCGAAAACATTCTGAACAAGCTGGACCAGAATGCGGCAACGGCTCTGCAGACGGACAGCCCCACCGGAACAGCGGATCCCATGCGCAGGAGCATGACCAGCAGCACCCAGTCCTTGTCACTCAAGTCCACTCTGTCGCCAGCGAAACGTTCGGTGGCCAATAGCTCATCGAGTGTAAAAAGCGAGGGTGGCGGCGCAGTGGTCACCAAGGAGATGCGCCAGAAGATGTCCACGTCGGCCAGTTTCTCCAACAATCCTGACGGCGGTTCCGGCAGTTCCATGTTGTCCGACACCCACGAACTGG